GAGGGCTTTTTCTTCGATTTTGTATCTGAAAGTTACTTCTTTGCATGATCTATAAATATATTTGTAGAGAATTTATTCTGAAACTTTTTTTACCAAAAATCAATCCCTGAAAAAATATCCCCCTTTCAATTTGAGCAAGATTCCTATGGCTAGAATTATATCAAATGAACGAATGAATATCATTATGTACTATCATCGATAATATAAGTAGGTTCATCTGATTCGTCACTTCAAGTTGTAATTTCATCAATAAATTGAGTGCTTCATCTAAGATGTTACATAGATTGGTGCTGAAGAGGCAATAAAGCGAATGTCTTATTCCGAAACATCGGATGTCCGCCTTCGAGGATGACAGTGTTCCATGTAAGTAAAATTCTACTCCTACATTGTGTAGTAATCCTGTGAATGATATCTGATTTGATTCTATAACGAATTATTGGAGTACGAACTGACTAGGAAAAAAGTGATTTTTTTTTTGTATAATTCAATGTTCATAAAAAGCAGTTGTTTCAATTTTTGTTTCGTGTAATCCAATGTTTGAATGAAAATAGTTGGTTCAAGAGGGCTTTTTCTTCAAGTTCTGTGTCTGACAGTAACTTTTTTGCATGAACTACACATTTTTTTCGAATTGAATTTCCTTCTTTCCTTCTTCAAAAGATTTCCACATTTTTTGTGTGAAGACGGAGGAGTAGAAAGCCAAAACCTTTATTTTTTCGAAAAATGCTAGTTTGTCAAAAAACCAACCATGGAATAAGGTGGGAGTAGGTGAGAAAAAATAGAAGGTTATTTGAACATATGTGCTTGATTGCTTCGTTTTTCGAATAACAGGGTGTTGGAACTATAACGAAAAAGCGGTTTTACATTGCTAAGAATATATTTCGTCGATTATGGTCAAATTTGGTACGTTCAATAGCAGTTGTAAAGGGCTCCTTTTGATGTTATCAGATTTGGAATAACTATTTCAATAACATCGTAGAGGGTTACCTGATGGATATCTATGGAAAAATTTATATACCAATAGTACAGGTGGTTAGATATCAGTATCAGATTGAATACTTGTAATTACAACTCTATGAGCCTAGCAAGTTTTTATTGTATCGTGGTTAGTTTCCGAGGAAAAAAAACTTTATAATCTGGAGGCCGTGAACCACGAAACGATGATCTGAAAGTAGATTCACTTTTTCTAATTTTACGGTAATTACATGAGAGTTGAAGTGAAGTTGAAATAACCTCCATTCTCATCCTAACTCTCCTTGATCTCATACAGAAGGTACTTGTATTGCATGGCAATGAGACCAAACATTTGTCAAATAAATGAATGGAAGCCTGTACACNAGCTTTCACCATCTTTGAGTTAGAAGCCGAGACTATAAGAGTATGTCTTACTTGGAACTGGTTTCATAATATGAACATCATCAAAAAACGGAAGGGCAAAATGAACACCTGTTTTCATTATTTATTTCTTGGCAATTACAACTTCACTTCAAACTCGAAATTACGAGTTTGAAATCGAAATTTCGACTTATTGATCGATATCTGACATCAAATTAGATCATATTGGTTGCAAATCATGAAAAACGTGGGAGTCTGTTATGCCACAATCAATATATAAACTCTTATAATGAACTTGTTATAAATTGGTAATTCGAATTTGTAGACTCTTTTTTATGCTTCAGATTTTTTAAATATTGGATGTCAGCCTAACACATTTTCACTGAATGAGGAAGTCGACCCAAAACCAATTCATTATCAAACCACAGGGCTGATTCTGAGCTGTCGAGAATATATACTTTCTACGAGATGGAAAAAAGAAAAGGAAAGGTATAGAAATTACTCACTTTGAACATATCTGCTATTCACAACCAATTTTTTTTGTCTGTCATGATCGCCGTTTTTGGCAGTTTGCATGATATGCATAATACACAACTCGTCATGTTTTATGCGAATTTGTCACAGTGTGTGACTGAAGGAAAACACCTTATGTACAGCCCAAATTGAATCCAGAAAAATATAATTATTGTCTAACATAGAACCACTACAAACAATACAGTAAAAGTAAAATGATATCACTGGAATACAATATACCCATTGAGCTGCAGTGATTTCCATGGATAACATGAACAAGTTATAACGCCCTCTGCCATAACATATCGAGTATTTGCTTTTTGTTGGTGGACTCCTGTACCTACATGAATCTATTTGAGGTCCTGTTTGTCACCGTACTTATATTCATTATATACGCATGACTTCCCTATGTTCTCGAGGACGAAGGTGGGTATTTTCGCGGATGACACCGCGATTTACGCGCACTCTTTCTGAAATTCTCATCTTTCTGAGGCGTATATACTTTTGAACATTTTGAAACGGATTTGATACTTGCTAATCTGTGAAATCATACTTGACTCGTCTGAATGGTCAAATACATTTTTCTCAGTCTAATTATTCCACTGAATAATTAATGAATTTAGCTACTAGAGGCATATCTTGTCAAATAATTTTAAAAATGAGTTTCACAAAAGTATAGAGACTGAAAAAAATTACGATCACTTTATAGATTCAATGGTTTCTTTTTGCCTCATACGAGTACCAATATTTATCGACTCATTCCAAACGGTTGAAATAATACTTTGCAGTATACCGTTTGAAAAAGATAAACCTACGTTATCGATAGGTNCGCGACAGAATGACAACTTCCGCGTAAGCCTCGGCAGGAAGCGGAAAACTATAGATGAGGCTGATATAAGGCGTTTTTGAGTGGAGAGCCAACCGCCAACACCAGCGGGGGCGTCTCCCACTGTCCCATCGGGGGACTGTGTGGAGGCGCTTTTCTCTTCCGTGCGGAATTCTTGAGAGCGCAAATGTATCGGGGTCTTTTCCTGCCACTCCCTCTACCCCATTCACTACCCATCCCAATCCTTCCCACTGTCCCACTCCATTGGGGAAACCCTTGTGTACATTTTGTATATTTGTATATATATTTTTTATTGTATATATTTTATAAACACCACAAAAAAAATACCTTAAAATTGTATGGAGAATAGTTAATAAAGAACATTTTGATTTTGATTTTGATTTTATTTGGGGTAACGGAGCCTTAGTTTAATGGTTTCCGTGTCCTGTAACTTAGATACCTATTTCCTTGTTCTCACATTTATTTCACATTAACATTATCGGTACGGTACGCATACATTTTTTTTAGAGAATAACACCAAAAAAATGAGGTTATAAAGGTAATACTGTTTCATTCGACACTGAAAGCATGCGAAATTATATGTCAATATACACTATTTTCGATAAGACTCCCAGGATTTCAAAACATCAATTTTCATATTCATCTATGGCCAACGTTTAATAAGTAGATACATAGTTATTACACAAATTGACCACAACATTTTCAGATTTCCACAAAAATTGTAAATTCTGCCGGAATAACATTTCCATAGACATATATTTTCTTATTAGTTGATTTGATCACATCAGGTACATAATTCAATATTTTGTGATTGTACTAACTCACACTCAACCTGAAATACTCAGGATTTTCGTAAAAAAAGTTGGTCGCGTCATTGTATTGTCTTCGATCAGGTTGATAATCACGATTTGTGATTCTATAATATATTTTCCATTTTTGTTAATCATTGCATTTGATACCAATACTCTCACAACTTTCCATTTAAACGTTCACATATGGAGGTTCGTTTTTCATAGGATTCGCGGTGCACTTTTCGTTTAACACAGATTTGCTTTGGGGCATATTGACGTAGTTACCAGTCGGTTTGGTCACATCTCCATTTTGATTCGTAGTCTCTTCAAATATTGTAGGAGGCATGTGATGGTAAGTGGGATTTGATACACTGTTGGGACTTTGAAGAGGTGTTTCACAGTCTGAATCTGTAGGAGCACGCAACATAGGAAGCAATTCGTGCCCGTTGGCTTCGTCTGAGTTCGAATGTTTTCGGTTATGAATGTTGAAATCGAACACTTGTCCTAGAAATGAAAATACATTAATATACACCCAAATCTACATTATACTGTTTCTATATGAGACAGCTATCAAACATATGAATATAGTAGATGTGCTTCATCCCTGTCTGAGACAACAATCAATGTGTCGTCGACGTAAATGGTTACTGAGCCGTTACGAATATTCACATATATACAATGTCCTTGATATAAGCAAGAATGAATTAGGTCCCAGACCGAAACCCTGCGGAACTTCGATGTCAGAATATTCTCTGCATGGTAATTGACTATATCCAATGATCACGTAACCGATAGTCTGTTCGAATAACTTTTCATCTATTCCAGAGTGACAACACAAATTCCGTACTGAAATAGTTTATTGAATGAAATGATATATGATTCCTATACTCAGCTTTCTTCAGAAGGATGATAATTTTTTGAAACATCAACCATCTAAGGAGAGCCAAGTTTGAAAATTTGTTTTTTTCGTTGAGTATCCAATTTGTAGCCAAAATTTATGAATACAACAAATTAGTGACTGATTACAATGATGAAAACTTACAGTAATTGAAGTACTGAGATTTGCAATTATGGCAAGATAACGAAGCTTTCATAAAAAAAAATATTTTGTTATTCAAGAAATAGTCAGCTGTCTCAAGATTGACGAGAACAGTCTGTAACATATGTTTTGTCGCAATTACTTACCTTCTGCTGTTCTTGGGCTGAAAATTGCACACGGTTTCATACTCATATATCCTTCATCAGCTGATTGATTCAGTCCTTTATCATCTACACATAAAGGACTTGATAAAGCTTCAAAAGTTGGCGGACTCAACATGGCCAAATAATCATTTTGCCCCTCTTCAATGCGTTTGGTATTCATTGCTAAGTATGGATCGTTCAAATCTATGTAGTGCTGTATAAAAATACAAGAAGTTTGAATAACAAATTTTGGATATAAACATCAAATTTTTCATATTCGCGGCTATAGCTGGTGCAATTTAAAATACGGTAATGTTTTTATCGAAACTTGACATCAAAATATATCAAAAAGAAATGTGATAATATTTCCTCTATTATGTGTTTGTTAAATATTTAGGCGAGATAAAAGAGTCAAATATTTTGAGTTAATAGTTGATATTTCTTCAATTCAATAACCCAACCAGAGTTGAAAATAAACTTGACATCAAAATCTATCAAAAAGAAATGACACCCCGATTATGTGTTTGTCAAATATTCAGGCAAGATAAAAGAGTCAAATATTTTGAGTTAACAGTTGATATTTCTTCAATTCGATAACCCAACCAGTCGAAAACTATTTCAGGTTTCTGAGAAAAAAAAAGAAGAAACACGAAACTCATGAAAATATGTGGATTAATAGTTGACGTTTCCAATTTTATTAAAATCTGCCTCAGAATCAGGGATTCTTGGAAATCAAAGATTCTTCATAATTTAGAACAGTAGGTTATGAGAAACATGAATTCAGTATGGAGTTTCAAAAAACTTTTTTTTCGTAAAAAATTTTCAGGAATAGATATTAATTACGAGACAACATCAAAATATCGCACAAATGAAGAGGCTATGTTGGTGATTATTATAAGTATCACTCGATCTTTGTAAAATACAAGAAATATGTAATGTTTCCTGTTCGAATCAGTTCAATCTATTCAGTGCGTTGAGTACTTCTTTCTCGAAAAGTTGAAAAACTTCTCTTCGTTGACAAAAATGTTTCAAAGTTTATTTTCGTGAGTACTGTTACAAATTCCCATCTATTAGGATTTGTGGTGATGAAAACCAAATTCAATCTAAGGATTGAAAGATAGCGAATAAAAACTTTAATTTGATATGTCTACATCTCCATCTGTATACAATTGAATTCAATATAAACTGTTCATGAAGATGCTCCAACACTTTGTAAAGAGAAATGACGATCGGTACATACGGCGCTTGGAACCATGAAATTGGCCAGAAAGATTACCCGATTCAAATCCATTGAATTATTATCTGTGGAGGGTATTTAAAAATAAGTTTACATAACATCCGTGCCTTCGAGAGATGAATTGTTAGAAATGATTACCCAAACATTCAAAGATTTGAATCTAAATGAAATCTGCCACGACGAAAGCAGTCAACACTCGCATTTTGAAGTGCTTAGTAGTGAACAGCCAGCGATTCGAACATATTTTGAAATATTCTACATGATTGTTTTACTTCATCATAACTATTCATACCAATATTCCCACTTTCATATTTTTTCGCGTTATTTTTCAAATTAATCGAAACATTGAAATTATTTTAAATTCGAATGAGATTCATTAGCCGTAGATTCGGATACCTTTCGTTGAACTTTCTACACGTTCTGCTGATAATTGTATCACACTGTCCAAAAATAATAAACAAATTCATAATGTAATTCAATTCCTTTCGTGGTATTAGCCAGGGGAGTAGTTGTTTGTGATAGGTGTCAGTCCATCAACCTACAGTGTAAGGAGTTGAGACTGGCCATAACTTCAGTGAATAATCTTGAATTGACACATGTCGGATATAATCCAACGCCCTCCGTTGTATTAGCCAGGGGAACACTTGTTTTCTGATAAATGTCAGTCCATAGGGGGTTGAGAATGGCCTGAACAAATTGTTCCTTCAGATTATTTGATTTAAAGCCAGTCTTCAAGTAAGCACACTGACTATATGTGAAAAGACAGGTATACAGAAATATCAAGAAAAGTTACCAGGTAATTTTCGAAGGTTCCAAAATTAATATTATAGACATGGTGTTCTATTTGAATGAATCAATATTGCTACTACTTTCTGATGGAAGTGGCAACACCGTATTTTCGAAAATATTTAAGTTGGGTAGAGAGCGTCCGAATATGCTCTCCTTTGAATTTTAAAAGTGATCTGTTGTCCAGAAACGTCTTGAATCAGCCTGTATATCTTAATCCGAATAATGTTTTCAATTCTCCCAATAAATTCATATTTGACACCGACTTTATGCAAATGAAAAAAAAATTAGTCCAATAATAATATTTTTTTTAGGGAAAATTGCAATATATGTTTCTCAACTAAGATTATGATTTTCTCATAAATATAAGAGTCCATTGATTTCTATGGAATAAATGATTTTGAAATGTTATGCTTTATTATTGAAAATACAGTATATTTTCGAACCAGTTTTTGGCGCGAGCTCAGTGAATGTGTTGTTTTCAATGTTTTCATGAATAGTGGATTTCGACCATAAAAGCTATCCTAGTTTTGTTCAATACAACATTTTTTGAGAGTTATCTTCAGTTCCATTTCAATAATCTCAATTTTACCGAAAAATATCGACAGAAAAATCATTCAATAAGAAAAAAGTGTTCCAAATGGCTGATAGATATAAATGCATATTTTATATCACGAAACTGTCTTTTCGTTGCACAGATCTGTCATTTCATTGCACAGGTGCAGGTAATAGACGAGTGGTCAAACATTTTTTTTGGTGATGTTACGTCGAATTCTTCACTCATATGCTTGAGGAAGCGTAAGTCATCTCAAAATACTATCACATCAACAATTTCTTATGATATTATTATATTCAGTATCAACGTGTCTCACCTTTCTCATTGTTTCTTCAAGAATTGCTCCTAAGCGGTCAGATAATTTTGAAAATGAAGGTCGTACCAAAGGATTTGCTGCCCAACATTCTTTCATAATCTGGTAACTAAAAAACAGATGAACTCTTAACTTGTATTGAGATTTGTAGGAAAAGTATAATTGGAAATAAGTAACATGTCACGTTGAAATGTTGAATTCAAATATTAGTTTCAATAGTAGATTTCGTTGTGAAATACCAAGTGAAGTTAATGCTTACAAACTAAAAGTTATTCGGTTCATTATATTTTTTTCAAATTTTTAGCTATATCTATTTGAAATGAAAATACATCTCGTTAACATAACGGATTTTTCAGAGGTATGTCACATTTGTAGAAAACCCTCCGAAATGAACATGAGTGACACCTTTAGAAGGGTGACTATGACATCTATTGAATATGAAGACGATTTTGGAAAATTTATTTCATGAGGACACCAATTAAAGGAGTTCTCGAAGAAAACTATAACACTTTCTCAAGAATGAATTGCACTTAGTTGGTCGAACATTTTTTGATCTATCTCATCTTTCTTGACAGAAAGTAATTACCTCAGGGTTATTCTTGTAAGCGAAGCTCCATATATCTGAATGATTTTCGAGGATAGGAAAAATTTGAGCTTAATGAAGCACCTAAAGTTGCTGGGGTGTATGAAGTTTCAGAATAGAGGAGAGGTGAATACTTAGCTTTCCGTAAATAAAATAATTTCCTCAACATACACTATTTGTAGCTGATAAACACAGTCCAGTTGTATATTATTTATTTGTAGTGAAAAAAAAATTCGATTATATCTGTTGTTTCGCTTGAATATATAACATGACCAATAATTTGTTTTATGGAAACCTAACATTTCATTCTCCATCAACATCTTTTCATTAGGAACGATGTTCTGTTGATTACATTTGTTGAGAGTTCCTCTTTCTGAAGACTAATGTATACGATTATTCATCATACCTATTTATCCTACCTCTGAAGCAGGTGATATTTCACCTGCTTCTGAGGTGAATGGACATTTCAATCATTCACTTAGAGAAGCAATGGTTGTTGAACGAGCCTGAGATGTATTTCTTGATAAATACGTTTGAGAAATTGTATGTGAACTAAAAATTGAAAATTCATAGTTCAAAAAATTGAAATAATTTTTATTGGGCGTGACATGTCATGAAAATAATAAAAAAAATATGCACAAAGTTTACTACTTTCAATAAAATACAATTCTCAGTTTTGAAATAGTGACAAAACGGTAGTGTTCAAATGATATTAGGTCTTCAAAAACTAAATATTCACTGATAATAGCAAACATTCAAGGCCAATTTTTTTATCGTAGATTTGAACCGTTTTTCTCTATGAAATTCCTGAAGAGCAGCCTTCGATTTTATAGTAACTTGACATTTTGATATCTCATTTGAAATCCAACAAATAATTCGACACATGAAACGAAATCGTATGTCCTAACATTATTTCTCATTTTATCACGAGTTATTTCTCAGAGCAACTTGATGCCTTTATTCACTGCTCCTTGGTTACTATCACCCCAAACTGTAATTTTTCCAGATTTTAAATAAGATACGAAACTGTTTGTAGTCATCAATGATGTGCCTACATTGGCAGCTGATGATAAGTCATTTTAACATAGAAAAAGGCAAATGTGTATTCATCAGCAAAGAAAAGTAGTGGATTTCAGATTATTTTCCATAGGTTGTCGAGGTAAAACAGGAATAAGGTTTGCAAAAATTCGCATTAACGAGAAACGTCAGCGTTGATGGTACCGATATCCGAGAGAGAATTGTAGCAATAGCTACATGTAGAGAACGGTGTTTGAAAATTTATAATCCCTCGTATCAGACCCCATAGAAAGCAAATTCGATAAAAGAATTCACTACATATTATTTTTCTTTCATAGGTCTAGAGAAAAGTCTGCAAGAGGATATGTCTATCTTCAAAAAAAAGCTATTTCGAAATGAATAATTTTGGTAATGATATTGAGACAAATAAATACTTCAGTTGCCTCATTTCATGCAGAACATTGCTTCATTCCGTTTGATAAATCGTTACCATGCGTGATGAAGAAAGATTACATGTAAATGTTTTCACGTAGGAATCAATTTTGAAGATTGAGGTCGCAATTTCATTTCGTGTTGTCTTCGGGTTAGTGAGTATCTACCTGTTCCAAAACTGAAATTGACAGTTTGAACGAAATAAGCTCAAGTCAATTTTAATCGGCTTCGTTGATATGGCCTTATGTCGTAGTTGGGATGAAGTGATAAACGTTGATTTTGAGAGCTAAACAGATCTTCTTGCTTCATATACTCACACCAATGGGTAGCCCTAACTTCAAATCCCTATCTTTGAAAGCACGTCCTTCAGGAGAAAACAGACACTTCTTCTTGGATGGGGGATAAAGAGCTTCCGCACCTATGATGGTTCTACAATGATCTATCATGCTCCAAAATGTTTCCAAACCTTTCCTACTACTTTCAAACATGCCGGAATGGCGGATGTTCCGAAATGATATGCAATACTTTCGAATACTCTGTTCTAGAAATTTCCAGAAACACGAATATTCTAAATGAAGCATAAATGATCACCACAGTTCCCTTGATGGCTCCTTCATGAATTTGGATGTTTTTCCAACATTCTAGATTATTTCTGAATATTTCATCACATTCCAGAATATTTCGTATAGTCTGGAATGTCGAACACCCTAGGACGGTTCAGACATTTTTGCAACTATCTGGAGGGAGATTCTTTCAGCCCCAATATCTGCAAAAGCATGCTCTGAATTCTCCATATTGGTCAGGTTTCCTTGTTGGCTCATTCAAATTATTAGTAATGATTCTAGTCATTACACAAAATCTTTGGATTCGCGACGTTGCTCATGATATTTTGGAATTCAAGCCAGTTGATACTGGGATGAATTCACCAAAAATAGTACTGAAATTATCGATTTGAAAAAAAAATTGTTTGTAGGTTTATTGTATTTTTTGATTATGAATGAATGCAACTAATGAATCTATTGATTGTATGTGCTAGTATCTGGACAACATAATATCAAAGCTCAAATGTTCTGGGGTAAACTCTCGCGCAGGAGAGGTCAATAAACTCCTATGGACAACTCTAATCTCAACAAAAAAGTGGTTAATTCATCAAATGAATAATTTGAACTTGTTATTGAATTGGCAATCAAAATAAACCAAATCTCCGCTTAATTTCACATCAAATGATTCGACATTTCTCATTTCATCGATTTTACTGTATTTCATAGAGTTTTCTGGTTTTTGTATTCTCAAAAAAAAATCTTCTACTTCCATTTTACTTTGTTGCAGAAATAAAACTATTTGCCTTGAGTAAATTAATATCACTCCCTGAAAGATTCATTTCAATGTTCGTTCACTCTAAAAACAAGTGAAAAATTCCTTACATATCGACTGGTGCAAATTCTGGACATTCCATTCTGTATCCATCCAATAACTTTGGGTACAGTATTTCTGCATCTATTCCTGAATAGGGTGTCCTGCCGAGAGAGAAAAACTCCCAGAGAACAATGCCAAAAGACCAAACATCGGACTGCGTGGAAAATATATGGTCCCTGAGCGATTCAATAGCCATCCACTTGATGGGTAGAGGACACTGAAGAGAAAAAAAATAATGAAATACTGAAATAACGGTGGTGTAAAGAAGTTGATCTTACTAAAATGTCGGCAAAATCGAGACCGAGATGTAAGTTTATCTGACTAGTATTAGTTTTGTCAACTATTAGAAAATGATTTCCGAGTTGAACGGTTTGGAGGAAGAGTACATGGTCAGAATTGAAAGCTATACGCGATTGATTGATGAAAATTTACATAAACTGATCTACTGTTGCTTTTCTTGGAATTGAATATTAATTCCAATACAATTATAACTTTCCGAAAGTGCTTACCACCTTCCTCAGGACAACTGTAATATATTTATAAACAATATGTTTTTTATATCACAAACGGAACAACTTACTAACGTGAGATTGAAAAAGAAAATAAGTATCTCTACAAAACATAAAACATTTATTTTTTGATGGAAGTGTCTGGCAGTAACAATAATTTGAAGGAGGAAAATTTGGATTCGAAGTGATTTTTTTTTGACATTTAAGAATGAATTTGATAACCAGCTTTTTTATTCATGGATCTATCATCATTATTAATGTAAACCGTTTCCAGAAAAATTTATGGACCTTCTCAAAAATATTCATTTGAACTTTTTCGTGAGTTGAGGTATCCTGAAAACTAACGAATACACTATTTATCCAACAAGGTTTACAGTAACAATTAATCTCAGCAAGCGGTGATTCACATTCAGTGTAGTAAGAAAGTTCTGATATACATTGACTTGTCTTTCTTAAATCTTTCGCCGAGAGATTTCAATTCCACCTTTCAAATATGAAGATTATTTCAATGTGACTAGTGAAACCACTTCTACTCACTTTACTACTTTTTACGTAAACGTCGTTTTTATATGTACTTCTGGCCAAACCGAAATCACATATTTTCACAACATTGTTGTCAGCAAGAAGAATATTTCTAGCAGCTAAGTCCCCATGGAGCACCTGAAATGATGAATTTTCGAATGCTTATCGAATAAAATGTGATGACAAACCTTTCTTGATGCCAAATAATCCATTCCTCTGGCAACTTGAAAAGACCAAGCAATGAGATCTTGAGTGCAGATGAGTCTTTCATTTTCTTTATAGTCCCCAATGTAATTTGATCGCCAGTCTGGTTGAGCGCTATTATTGCTCGATATGAGTCCCTCTTCACTCACTACAAATAATGTTTACTGTATCATTCGAAAAGTGATACTTATTATGTTCTCTATAGCAAAATGAGTCAACAAAAAATGTATTAGTTAGGACTTCCATTGTCTAATATCATATAAAATGATTTGAAATCCCTGAAAGAACCAATACAAATCAAAAATTAAAAAACAATAGCTGAAAATAACAATTATATTAAGCAAAAAAATCTTGAAATGAAATTACAGTGAAATGAAATACAAGTGAAAAAATAGAACAATTAACCAAATATTAAAAATGGAGAGATTCCAAGCTGAGTTACTTCAGCGTTTTGATTGTTAGTATCCACAATCGTCTTCAGGTGATGACTGGACTAACTCCACGACTATTTATGGATCATTCGAGTACTTTAACTTATCTCCTCACACGAAACAGTATCTGAACTACGAATACAATCACTAGAAATCGACTGAAAGAGGAATCATGAAGACTCTATTAAACCGTGCTTTCGGGATCCGTAATACGAAGGAAGGTCTCGAGAAGGAACTAGATATCATCAAAAATGATCTTCTACGGAAAGGCTACTCCAAGTCGATGGTGGAACAGACTTTGGCTGAAAGACAGCAAGAGCTTCGCAAGGAACAGAAGCTGTCACAACCAGTGCTTGCATTTTCCTAAATCAGGGGATTATCGAAAAGGATAAGAAGAATTCGGTCCAGGTACAAGATCAGAACCTGCCTTCGAACCCGAAACACTATCCCTAGCAGCCTCACAAAAACCAGGCCAACTAACGCGGACTGTAATTCCAAAAATTGCATTTACCGGATAGCCTGTAAGTGCGGAAAATCCAAAATCGGTGAAACTGAGGGGCCATTGAAAGTTTGTATTGCCGAGCACAAGAAACACACACAGCGAGGGGAAACCAGCAAATCAGGAATAGCAGAGCATGTTAGGACCTATTAATATAATATCGAGTGGTCCCAAGCTGAGATCATACACAAGGAGGAACACTGGTTTGGGAGGAAATTCAAAGAAGTCGCATACATGTTGTCCAACAATGTATTCAGCCAAGCTAGTGTAGACATAAGCAACATATGGAAACCGATAATCAAGCGAAAAATGGCCAACTCCCGCCGAACGGTCATCTCCCGCTAAACCGTTGAGACGGAAAAAGGATATAAGTGAAAGTATTTCATTAGTTCGGACTTCCATTATCTAATCACATAGGTATATAAAAATGGATGTTTGTTGGTTGGTCGCTCAACCGATCGTGATGAAACTTGACACGTATAAGTAATTTTTCATAGAGAAGGTTTTTAGGCTATCAATTTTTCTGTACCTCGCCACTAGATGGCGGTGTAGAAAATTTTTTTGAAAGCACTGTTCTATTACGCTGCGCACGCCTAAGTTCGTTGATTCTGATTCTGTCAAAACATTGGAACAGCAGCGACACAGCAACATGATACTAATATGATTAAGCAAAAATACTGAAATTACAATGAAATAAAATACAGAAATGATAAATAAGTGAAATAAATAAATAAATCGTTTTCATTTCCTGTTAATGATTTTTAATCTTCATCTCGTTAATCACTCATGTATGAAATCACTACTACCAATTTCTGAACACTGTCAAAGAAGGACAGGAAGGAAATGAGTATTTTTTGAAGTATTATTAAAAATAATACCACAAGAACTCAAAATTTTATCGATAACCTTACTTTTCCAAAGTTATTCAGCAATACCATGGAATCAAACAGCGTGATATAATTACTCGTTCCACGTACATGACATGAGACCGCAGAACCGGCACCGATTCACTTGAGGAGGTTATATGCATTAATTGTACGACGTGTATTCTTTTCGATTTCAATGTTATTGCTACTATTCAGAGATGTTTCGATTCAAATTAGGAATGTCTTACTACATCAATAAGTTTCGATAAAGATATTGTGACATCTGGAGTGTATGAGTGTATGAACCAGGACAGTTAATCTATTGAAAACACTTTCCCAACACCGGAACAAAACTACCGTTACTCGACGCGCGTTTCGCTAACCGAGCATCCTCAGGAGATCATAACGACTCTGGTGTTGGGAAAGTGTTTTCAATAGATTCATTTCACGCCAGAGGTTTCAGTACGAACTATCAAGACAGTTTCTACGATGATGGGTTGACTTCTTCAAAAATGAAACAGAAAATATGTTGAAACAATACCCCACAAAATCGTAATCGCATACCCAAACAGTTCAGTTACTGCTCAATGACAAAGATCGGCATGGAACTTACCTTGGGTCATGGAAGTCAAATCTGATTTCGTTGTTCCATCAGTATTAGCACCCGCTCTATAATCAGTCATATTGTCCGAAACTGGCGGACTGTTGTTACTGTTGGCAAACATCACTGCAGCATACTTCATGGAAGGAGAGCGGCAGTCACTGAAAAATGAATAATTCTGGTTTATTCTGAGTTCATCCAGAACAATTGGGTGCCATTCTGTCGACAAATGGAAGAATAATTCCATTTAGGACTACCACCCAAAGCCGCTGTAGATAAAACTGAGATTGAAAGGGTTGCAAGTCTTGTATTTTTTATAGAACAGAAAAAGTCTTCTTGATGTCCTCAATTGAAATTTGTGCGAGCTGAGATGAACAGAAACTTTCATTTTAACGTGCGATTTCAACAAGGGAAGCCCAATGAACTTACCATTGATCACAAAACCACAGATTAAGTGCAGATGCGAAAGCCTCCCGCCAGAACCTAGTTTTTATACGCATGTGCTGTTACAAGTGGTTTTAATTTCAACCTCACTTTTCACTCAACGTTCCTTTGATATTGTTTACAACTTTCATTTCAATAACTATTGGAATATAATAAAATTTGTGAATAAGTGAAATATATTTCACACAGGACAATGTTTCGCAAATGAGTAACAGTTTGTGTTGTTCATGGTTGTTTTACAAAAACTGGGGAAAATACAAGTTTGTTCAGAATTCCAGAGGATTCTACAAGGTAGCTGAATGTTGATAATTTCCAATTCACAGCATTATCTCAACGCAGCTTTTTGAACATTTTATTTACAACCATTTGAAAATGTCCCATGCAAATAAATTGGTATTTTGTTGATGTTTATTTTTTAGGTCTGCTTGTTGGCTGCGATTATGTAACAGAGATGATTTATTAGGTAAAAGTATCCATGCCTTGCATAGAAACTATAGGGTATGTGAGAAACATTTGCCAAAGAAGTCATTTCTCAATCTGGAACTCGTAAACATCTATTCCAAAATGCAGTTCCATCCATATTTCCTCACAGTGCCACTAAGCACTCCTTGGAAATTATCGAATATGATAATTGTGAAGGACGTCCTAAGAAAACTGTTGTTTTGGATGCTGAGTATGGATGGATACCTATGTTGTGTCCCAAGTTTACATATTGATTGTAATATCTTCTGCATTTCTATGAGGAAAGAAAACAATATCAATTATTATTCTATGTGGGCTCTCCAATAACTGGTACTCAAACACCGGCATTTTTGAGCTGTGGAATGCCACGAAAGATAAAGTTGTGTGAGAAACTAAGAGCTATGAGAAGGAAAAGAAGCATGAAAACATCCAGTCATGAGTTCATCCCGGTGAAGACAGTGTGGTGCGCGTAGTGTCTATTCGAACGCCCAAGGGCGTGTTTAGAAGAGATTCTTCTAAAATATCTGCGTTGCCAATAAAAACTGTTCCTACCGACTAACAATTTTTTGAAGTTATCCTTTTTACTATATGTAACTAATGTTAGTTTTATTGTTTTTATTTTGCATTCAAATCAAAAGTAGGTTCTTTCAAAGGGGGCGGCATATACGGTGAGAGTTAATTTTATCCATTTTCTCTTATGTCTCGTACCACACTGTACATGCAAATGGCTGCATTCCAGAACACTTGAACCTCTCACGATTCATCCCTCTCGAGCGAGCGTTGATAGGTTCAATATATATTAGTAAGTGTTAGTTCTGTCGTAAACATAGTTAAAACATCTGTTTGTTCTCTTCCATATTCACGCACTGTAAAAATATTCCAATATCTGCTATCGAAGTGAATAGTTAAATGTTGAAGTAGTGTTTTATTAACAACGTTAACTCTACAGAATTCAGTTTGATCATACAAACAAAACATAGATAAAATGGCAAAAAAAATGTTACTTGCTCAAAATGCTTGTGTTATTATGGTGAGAGGAATATATATTAATTGGAAGCAGAAAATGGCATATTTTTTCGTGAATACACAGTTTTCTGCTGTAGAACTACATTGTGTGATTGATGAGTGTATATCAAAATTGTTTACAGCTGGTTTCTTATGTGAATGTGAGTGATATGGGATCAAATTTTATTCCACTTATCTAATATTCTGTGACAAAACTTGTTGTAGGAGCAACTCGCAAACTTATTGTAGGAGCAACTCGCAAACTTACATACATCAACGCATTACACATCGAATACGGAGTCGAAAGGGTTGGCCACTGAAAACTAGGCTCGCAAAATCATATATCTAGAAAAAAGTGGGATCAAAAATTGGTTTCATTGTTTTTTACTTCAACTGTCATCCTTCTGAGAATATCATTTCCAAGAATGTTTCACAGGATTACATTCTAGACCCCTATTGATACTGACAAACATAAATTCTGGTTCCTTGAAATCCGATTCATTGGATTCATACTTTCTGATTCATTGGAATCTATACGAATTATGAAATCTCCTGAAGACGATACGACAAAAGTCTTTTTTAGTGATACTGAAAAGGAAATTTTGAAACGGCATTGAAAGAGATATGTATCTACTTTGGTATTGACTTTCAACTTATGAATTGGTAGTCTACTATGAAAAATCTTTGTTCATGTATCTACATTTCTCATAATTATATTTTGAAAACAGCGAACAATTGTATATGATGGCAAAACATTGAAGTATACTGATACACAGCAATATGTTTTGACATTATTATAGACAAAAAATTTAGTCTTGAAAAATCTATTTGAAATAGAAGAAAATCCTCACTCTTTAGCATTCACTACATATGTTAGAATTTTCTAACTTTAGAAAATTATATTGTGTAGGAATCCGTGAATGATACGTCATTCTATTCCATAACGAATGTTTGGAATACAAACCTTTAGAAAAATATTTTTTTTTGTTGTTAATTCCAAATTATATTGATATCGACATGGGGTTCGGCTTCCTCAACAATATTAAAACCTTTGAATGAGTTACACAATAAAAAGTACCAAATGAGTTTATGAACTGTCGTTTTCGAAACTAATGCCAAATTTGTATAAACCGATGAGTTTAGTGAATTTGAATATAAATTCAACTCAGAATTAGAAATGAAGTCTAATATACGTGTTGGAATTGGCTAATACTTCATGGAAATCCATAACGTATTCAAGTAACACTTCATTGTGATATTTTCACTGAACAGCTTACAAAACCATAACACGTGTTTCACTAAACGATAGAATCTTTAGACATTTTCATACTCACTAAATACTAACCTATCAGTACTTCATTTAGTTAACAATTGAAATCGTATGCCATTCCCATCATTGAGTAGGTTAGGTTGGTCCAAAGTGAGTTGATCTATTCTACCCTCCACCACAACCCGCAAGGGTTTATTGTGGCATACACCTATTCACACTCGGCCAAATAAACCCAGCTTCTTAACGAAGCCGATTAGTTTGTATGAATCAGGAGTTGGGGTATTGAGAAGCTCTCGCTCGTCAACTGAATTTAAAGGGAGGTCAGTTGGAGTCGTAAACTCGACATCTATCTCCTCTGTAAACTCGCTCCTGAACTAAATTTACAGGGAGGTCCGTTGAAGTCGTAAACTCGACATCCATCTCCTCTGTAGACCCGTTCCTGAATTAAATTTACAGGGAGGTCAATTGGAGTCGTAAGCTCGACATCCATCTCCTCTATAGGCTCAGCGTCAGGAAGAATTTTCAAGTTTACTCTGTCCATAAAAGTCCCACGAGTAGCTAGGGAAAGAAGGTCAATCACGGCAGAGTTTACAGGGAGGTCAGTTGGAGTCGTAAACTCGACATCCATCTTCTCTGTAGACTCGCTCCTGAACTAAATTTACAGGGAGGTCAGTTGGAGTCGTAAACTCGACATCCATCCCCTCTGTAGACTCGCTCCTGATCTAAGTTTACAAGGAGGTCAATTGGAGTCGTAAGCTCGACATCCATCTCCTCTATAGGCTCAGCGTCAGGAAGAATTTCTAAGTTTACTCTGTCCATGAAAGTCCCACCAGTAGCTAGGGAAAGAAGATCAACCACAAGTGATTCTGTCATTCCCGTATCCAGCGAGGCTTCGTGGAAGCAGACATCCGATGACCGGTTTGCTCAACCCACACATCCCAAGCCAATGCACTTGCCGAAAACGGTATGCACAGTGGTTCAGGCAGTGAAAGATGAACAAGGATAGCCAACCCGCATTGGGTAGGCCTAAAGCAATATGATTGAAATCGTTGGATTACATAAAACAATAATAAAGTAGGATTCAGTTAGTATTAATACGCCTGAGAAAGCTATTGTATGGAGAAACATGTGTTGCGGTTATGTGAACTATATCTACAGTGAAAATTCAACGAAGAAGCATCATTTCGAGGCAATTATTTCTTTTCAACTAGGACAGTAATATTTCCAGAGAATAATGGAGGTGTAATTTGCAATAAAATTTCGCTAAGGAATGGTTCACCCATTCAAATTGAAGTTTACTTGTTTTTTCTTGTTTCAGTCAGATGAAGTTGAATGATAACATTCCCAAAATATTCGTTTCATCGAAATACTCTATCACTTAAGTCGTTCAAATTTTGATAAAGGTTATTGGAATTTATGAAAACATGTATTTGTTACTATTGATTATGCCTATAATTGGTGATGATGATAATTATTGGCTCCCTTGTAGACTTCTGAAATATTTCGCTTGTAACGATCCCAGTGTTTCATAATTGTTTCATCTGGAATTGAAAACTAACACTCCATCCTAACTTGAGAGAGAAATATTATCAGAAGAGATTACTTTTATGCAAAAAAAACTTTTTGGCTTTTTACTTCTTCATTATTGATCAAAAAAATCTGGGAAACATCTAAAAATATGAAAAAGTAAACAATAACTGCAATAATAAGAAAACTTCTCAGAACCATTGTGGATAATGCACAAAAGATTCTTTCAAGCACAAATTGGAAAGACCCCTTTCAAATAACTTCCATATATAAACATTAAATTGAACGATAATCATCTCATCTCATTCTATCTGTAATTGAAGCAGATAATATTATAAAAAAACATAACAACATTTAATTTGAAGGAAATTTACCCTACATGGAACACACATGTCTATTTGTGTACTTCGAAGTTTCGAGAAAATACACTTGTCTCATTTCCTCATAAGTATCATTTTTGGACAACGAAATGGAAATGGAAATAGAGAAAAAAATGTTTACTCTTATCACGATGAAACATTCATACGATTAGTTGAAAAAATCAGAGCCATAAGAATTTTATTTCTACATGAAATATTTCACAATGACCTTAATTCCTGATACACTGAATATTGAATATTCTTCTGACATTAAAATTATCCTGATCCTCTATTCAGTCTCTGTAATTTTACTCGAATATCAGGGGTTAGTCTAATAATAAAGTAATAATCAAATCATAATAGTCATTAACTTTACCTTCTATTATTCGAAAAGGAGTATGTTCTGTCCAGTATTTCTTGTCCAATATCATAGTTAACCTTCTTGGTGTGAGGATCAACCTGGTTTACGAAATGACCCCGATGTCTAAGAAGATAATTAAGTAAATTACCATATCGGCAGTATTCCACGATAACCAATAGTTGTTCTAGAAAAATAAAGAAAGTTCATTAATTTTGCATAAGTCTTTCACGATTCATGATCCATTATATTTACCTTTCGTGACATCTTTAGTACAAGCACCTAGAAGATTGACAACATTCAAATGCTTTCCCAAATGCGCCATTATTTTTAATTCGGATGCTAGAGCCTTGATATGTCCACGTTCAGCATTTTTTCGGACCATCTTCACTGCAACAACAGTAACAGGTTCTCCCTGGATTATATTTTTAGCTTCGCCTTTCATCACAACACCAAACGCTCCTGATCCTAGTTGTTTACCTGGAACGATTAAAAAAACTTCAACAGTAAAACATTTGAACACAACAAAAACAAATGATCAGACATCATCTATTTATTTGAAACTTGCAACACGATTTCGCTTCGCACAAATTGCAAATATATAATAGTCATTATTCATAGGTTGTTTTTTCTTCTCACATATATCTCAAAATCTAAAAGTGATCGGTGGACATATGTGAGAAGTTATCTTTCCTTATACGAGGAATTGGACAAATTTCGGATATGCAGTTAGTTACTTCGTTTACAGGCAGATGGGTCGATGACAAACTTGTTGTTGTTCTCTGCTTCTGCTCAGTTCCAAAAATGATACTCTGAGAGAATTCGATTTTCAATTATCGGAAATCATCGACTTTTTGTTGATGATATACACTACCTTGTATCGCCAACAGCATATGCAGGAATAACTTCTGTGAAGAATCCTGCACTGACACCTGTCGGATATAATCCAATGCCCTTCGTGGTATTAGCCAGGGGAGTAGTTGTTTTCTGATAGGTGTCAGTCCATTAACCTACTGTTTAGGGAGATGAGACTGGCCTGAACGAATTGTTCTTAGATAATTTGACAAACATACTTGTATAATAATAGAGTAGGACAGCACCATATAGATATCAAGAAAGAATTTCTGGGTGCTAGTGAACTGACAAGTCCAGTTATAAAGGTTGAACAACACCTTTATAATATTTTAAGATTTCAATCAAAAGCCCAAATTTCAGATCGCTTTTCATGGTGGAAATTAATTCATTATAAAGTGGAAAATTTATTAAAGAAAAACTATATTTGAAAGTTGGTGGGGGTTGAGTTCAATGGGGGTTGAATAAACTTTTGGAAAAATCATTATTTATTCTACTTTAATATAGGTAGATGAAACAAAACTTGAATGACGAATAGGAGCTGATATCTATAGTTTATTATAGAGTACGGTACTTTGCATTATCCAGGCTGCTTTTTATACTATTTTGTATCATAGAATTTGATAACAAATATCCAATAAGGAAATATTTGACATCCAACTCGTATTACTTTGTGCCATTTAGATGTTAATAATTATGTTATACTCGGAGAAGTTTAAAACATGTTTTTATTGATTTTTAATCGTACACAGAAATTGAGTGAAGCTGATATTAAACTCACCTAGTTTCAATTGTTCAATGGGAAATTCCCATTCCTTATCATACGGTAACAGTTCAGCTTGTTCATCAATTCCCAAATCTGGATTTAGATTTTCGATTGCACCTTTTTCGAAGTTCAAAAGTCCAAGATTTTTGAGCATTCTTCGATATTTCTGTAATAATGATCATAACTGCTTTATTGAATGAGGTCATGTATTGCTTCATAATGCAGGGTTATTGAAGATCAGATGTCAATAGTGGTAAGGGAGTAAGAATGATAATATCCTCATATCACCTGACACAGTTCCTTCATTTGTATGGATGGTATTGAAAAGAATAGAATACTTGTATTTCATCCATATTTCAAAAGATTATGAATCAATAAGCGAGTACATTGAAATTCAGCCAAAAAATTAATAACGTATGTTTCCTGTTGATAGATTCTTCAGATATAACTTGTATCTGAAAATGATATGTTAATTTGCTATCATCAATTAACAGTATATAAGAAAACCTTCAACTTGTGTAGTATGAATGAAAATATGTGAACAATACTCAACAGTCGCCCTGATAACAATTACAGTTAATCACACTGCAATACTCTCTACAGCAAAACACATTTTGTCATAACTGGAAATGTATCATTGGAAAAGTAATTTGGCAATAATCGAACATGAAAAGTCTATTTTGTCATGCGGAATGTATTTGCTGTGATTGGAAAATATATATTTTCTGTGAATGAATAAGATGTCAATCTTTAACCGAACTACGTTTTATTTGTAGTAATTGATTTTTATTTTAATACCCTTCCATACGAAAACCCTATATGAAAATTTTCCTACGATGTCTCTCAACGTGCGTTTCATTTACCAAGTTAGCAACATCAGGAGATGGTATAGGAAAATTATTTTCAATGGCATAATTTGACGGCAGAGGCTCCAAATTCTACTTATCTAACTATCTTACCCTTTCTTTTTGTATTTTGATCAACATGAAGACCACTGCAACTATAAATGAAATGGCGAGAATGACGATAATCACGTACAGCCAAACTGGTGTTTTTTGTGCATCTGAAACGAAAAAAAAACTATAAAATGGTTGTATAACATCAAATGGACGTTATTTTACATTTGTAGAGAGCCGAAATAGTACATTTTTATCACTATGACAACTTCCCATATGCGGGGTCGTTGGCGATTTCAATTGGCATATTTTGATTCAATCATCAATAGCCAGTACTCCCTTTTGCATAAAAAAATTGTGAGAAGAATCCTCATAAAAATAAAGTCAACAAGTGTTTAAACATTGGAATTATTATTTTCCAACAATCAGACACAAATCAAATTGTTACAGTCGAATTGAACCTAAAATACCAAAAGTTTTATCAACTTCTGCGACAGATATCATCAGTGGTATGACTGTTGATATATATACCACTTACATACCACTGACCAATGATGACCAATGTTCTACATACCGCTGATGTCTGCCGCCCACATAAGACTCCCGATACAAGGATCATATGCTGAGACTTACAGTGTATCTCAATGAACACATCTCCGAGTTCACCAATAAAAAGTGGCAGTATAAGCTCAAGAGTCTGAGTGTGCATGACCATTCTTTGTCGAGGACGGCTAAAATGTTAGACAACAGCTTTGAGGTCATACCTATCATACAAAAGTATCAAGTACAAGCGGTGACGGATCTTCAGAAGGCTCGGTTGTTCGGGAAGTATTTCGACGGTGTCTACGGTGTGAAACCTGACGAATGCATCGAGCACAAGAATATTACCAGTGGAACTCTCGCGTGAGCAGGGAGCGAGACGTCATAGACGGAGGCTAAAAGCTTCCCACTGTCCAATCGTTTGGAAGAGAGATAGAACAAAAAACGAGTGTGAGATACCTCGGGATTGTGGTGGACACAGGACTTTCGTTCATAGACCACCACAAAAAGGTAAGGAAAAAATTGAGCGAACTGTCAGGAAAATTGAGGAGGTGGACCGGGAAGAATGTTGGACTAAAGAGAGAATGTGTAAGGATGATATATGAAAGGGTAGCCAAACCTGCGGCACTGTATGGAGTACAAGCTGTATAGAGTACAAGTGAATGGGAGAAGGAAGATAGAAGACAGAGTGAAAGGAGAAGATAAAATTTTCCCCTGGTGCAAGGGGAGTTGCTGGATGAGATGGAGGAAGAGGAAGTGAGTGAAGTATACATGGACGCCGGAGCGATAATGTAGGAAGGAAGAATGGGAATAGGATGGGCGTACAAAAAGAACAGGGGATGAATGGACCACAGGGAATGAAAGGATCACCTGGCAAAGTAGCGTGAATGAAGCAGAGTAAATAGCGATAGAGCGAGTGATTGGCAGGTGGAGCATGAAGGAGAATTTGAAAATAGTTAGTGACTCTGCTATGGCTGTAGAACGAGTGAAAGCATGAAGAGTGGTAAATCAAAGGGTAGCAAGGATACAGAGGATGATTGAGGAAAGGAGAGAGAAGGGAGTACGTACCCAAATCATATGAAGGAGGGGACACGACGCCGGCAATATGGGTAATGTGAAGGTTCATGAAGAGGCTCATAAGGGCATGAACAAGGAGCAGGTCTCGATGAACGTGAGACAAATGCACAATAAAATGGATGATAGGAAGCACATAAAAGAGAACATCGAGAGGGAATGGCAAAGGGAATGGGAGAGGGGTGCGACTGGGCGAGTGTTCTACAGAGTCTGTAGAACAAGATCTGTAGAACAGTCGGGAATGAATCATTGGATCTGTCGCGAAAGGCGATCTAGCTTCTTACGGGGCATGGGGATTTTCCGGGATAGCTGGCGCGATTTAACCTGGGCTCGGAGGTGCTCTGCTCGTGTGAGTAGATCACGTGATAGATAGATGTATGATAGGGGACAGGATTGGATGGCGTGAGTGGAAGGAGAGGACGGAGAGGGTGAATGGTGAAATGAGTCTGAGGGATGAAAATGAGAAAAAGAATGAATGGATACGATTCGCGAATGAATAGGCAGACAGCGTGGTGAGGGACAAAAGGAAAGGATTTGGGTGAGTTATCAACGCACAGAAAAAATGGGGAAAGGTCGCTTTTTGGTGTACGTGACTGTCCTCCTGGTCAGGGCTGGACATGAGTCTGTGGAACTGTACATGAATCCGATATATGCGTATACATTGTGAGGGAATAAAAAGGGGATTATGGGTTGGTATAGAAAATTGGTTTTATTTGATTTGTTTATGTTTGAATAGCAGAATTGTTTTGTTTATTTATCTTTTGTTATATTTAAGTTATTATTATTGTCATTAAGTATTTGGTTTGAATTTCAAAAATCGTAAATAATTATATATTGTAAAATTTGTTTTTTGGTAAATAAAGTATGGGTTTTCTACCCCGCTAATTCGTCCCAGTGCATTAGCGGCGTTCTGCGTCGGTGATGTGGTGGGGGGTGGGGAGAGTTCGGAGGAGTAGGGATTCCCTTGACAGTGGTGGCGTTAGACAGAGGGAAGATGCCAGTTGAAAGGCCTTCGGGCTAGGACAGCATTAGCAAAGGCATTATTTGTGTCCAATCGTGGGACCATCTGGCGGCGTGACTTCTGTTATCTTGTTAGGCTCAATAAAACAGACATCCTTCTGCCATCCCCTCCTATACCTATCCCTCTTTCTTCCTTAACCCTGCTCCAGCATGTGGGAGAATGTTTTTGTTTTGTATGTATGTGACTAAATGTTTTGTTAATGTTTAATCAGAATGAACAAATTGAGAATTTTGTTTTTTTTGTCTGCCGCAGTAACAGAAGAAACATTTGTTACTTCAGATTCTATTTGTCGACGGCCTACCAGTCCATGACCGTGAGTAAGTAAGCCTGTCTCTTCTTGTGAAAAAATCGTTTTATTAGTAATGCCTGATTCGTAGACCAAACTTCCACTTCATCTTTGACTTTTTTGTGAGAAAATTATTATAATGAAAATTTATAGTCACTTCCTTAAATTATACTTTTACTTCGACTTTTCCTCACTCAATCAACAGTTTTTTGTGATGGGACTAACACTAATGATTTTTGAAAAAATAATTTGGTATTCAAATTTTAGCGCGAGTTTGAGGAATAACGTCATATCCAGAGCTGGAGAACATTTTTACTAGCCCAAATATTAATAAACAATTTTGAAATATTTCAGATTTCATTTGATTTTACTGGAAAATATTTCGACAAAAAAATTTTTCTACTTACTTTTGAAGCGGAGAGACCACTGCTTGGAAGCCACCCCTTTTTTATTTTCTGCTCTGCATTTGTATTCGGCTGCATCATCTTCTTTCGTAATATTGAATCTTAGTACTTGACTTTCCTCATCTATGATAATCCTTGATTCATTGGGCTTGAATATTATTCCATTCTAGAGAAGAAGATAACTGAACTGATAATATTTTCATAAATGAATAATCAAGAGTAAGAAAATGAACATGTTTGATAAAATGTATAAACACTTTTTCAGTGTTGGCTGGTTTCCGGGTTTTGCCGTGGACTTCTTTGGTTATAATCTCCAAACGTTTCAAAGGCAACTACATCAGTCACCTTCCGTGGCACGAAGTACTCTTCTTGACATATCAACTGAAACTGAAGCTATCATCTCTGCCATGTCATTTATAGTGCTGATAATGGCGAGTTGGCGAGTTCGCGCATTCCTTCCGCTCGATTTGGGTGATATGGTTTCATTTTGACGCCTTTCAATTTGTGTGCCAGATGTTTGGTAGATGTTCTCTCTTCTTTTGGAGTTCTCTTGGTGTATATTTCTATGGCTTCTACATACATTCTTGTTGAATAATGATTCGACGTTGCTAACCTCTCGGTATTTTGGAAAAGGATCTTGTGTTTCCTGTCGGACAGTGCGTGTTCAGCGACTGCAGACTTCTCAGTCTGTCCCAACCGTCAACTCCGCTTGTGCTCGATCGACTAGGTGAGTACAAACCGGAAACCAACCAAAACAGTGACGCCAGCTGTGAAAGGCTACATTCCTATATTATCATTATTTCTTCCCCACACGAAACTGAGACAAAACTTTTATCATGTTGATAGCACCAAGAGGTATCGGTAAGGAGTTGATGGAATATATAATTTCTTATTATTCATTTCATGTATAAGGTTCGAATTCTAACTACGAATCTTTGACAACTGTTTCAATGATTTGAATGAGAATTTTACTAAATCATTACTATTATACTATTACTTATTACTAATACTAAAGCGTTGTTAAAGTTTCAGTTGAATGCGGCATTCACCATGCTCTCAACCAATCATCAGCAATTTTTATTATCTTTGTAACATTAACATCAATTTCTTGTTTAGGAAAAATACAGTAATTTTATCTACTTCAATTTCACATATCTACAACAATTTTGTTCACTGAAAAAAATTTTTATCACCCTTAATTAGTCAGTGATTTTCAAGGGTTTTCAAATTAGAAAAATTGATTGATGTAGCCGTTATTACGTGGTAGGAGACCACCATGAAAAATGAGAATTTGAACTTTCTATGTTTTTTTTAGTTTATTGTATTCCTTTCAAAATTTCCTCATAGGACGTAACTGCAGTAACGTTAGTTACAAATAAAAGTGGTAAACAACATAGAAAGTTTCAATTCTCACTTTTCATGATGTTCTCAAGTTGATTACTGGAAATAATTACCTTGTACCATGTAAGTTTAGGCTTCGGAATTCCATATACTTCACAGGACAATTCTAAATCTTTCGGAAAGTTTGTTTCTATCACTTTGTTTTTCGGGTCTGCTATAATTGGTTCAGTAGGCTCTGAAAATAACAATTCCAAATCAGAAATTATTGAACAACAGATTCATGATAATTTCGTCACAGAAAGATCGAAAATAACGATACAGAAGTAATATATTAATTAGATGAAATTGATGAACTAAGGGTATTTAGAAAATGAGTTGCATATCAACTGTATACAAACCTTCCACAAAAATTGTTATTTCTTTAGATTGTGAGCTTCCTGCAGTCTTCACTCTGCACTCGTAAATACCGTTATCAGAAGGATTAGCAAGTTTTATCTCCAAAAATGCTCCATTCGAAAATTCTGTTGTATTTCGAGTAATTGTGATCCCTATAAAGGGAAATGAATGAAAAATTGTCAAATTGAATTTCTCTTTCTGAAATAGGTACATTGTTATGAGATAAAATTTGAGTGGAAAACATTTATAATTTGTTGTTATTACACATGTTCCGTTTGGGCATAGTACACCTATGCACAAGTTGTTCTAAATAAGGGACGACACAATGATCCAGATCGGAAATTTCAATCACCTTGCTAATTATAATTTTTTCCACTAGTTTTTTTTTTGGAGGACGAAACACAAGCAGTACAGAAAAATCTTCAAGGCACTCCCAGAGCGGTGCCTGTGCGAAAGTAGCGATTCACATTGGATTTGAATCGCTGGAGATTAAATCCATTTGGAAAATCGGTTTCAGGATGTTTATTCCACATGAACGCAGTTCTCCAGATGGAAGAGTTCTTAAACATTAACTTCGAGGTATACGGAGTTAAACCTCAAAACGATGAGCAGCCACAGTCTGTCGCGTATTTCTGATAGGTACCGCTCTTGGTGGAATCAAATGTGCCAAGTCACTTGAACACCTCCCGTGAAAGAATCTATAGAAGCGAGACAAATCTTCAACCTTTGTTCGATGTTCAAGGCTATCAAGGTTGCACGTGATGTTCGCATCTCCAATCAGGCGGATGTCTTTTTTCTGAATGGACTCCAGCAACTTCAGGGTATGTTTGGGGACAGAGCTTCATACATGAGAACAATACTCCAAAGAAGGTACGATCTGAGCTTCATAAAGCATCAAAAGTTGATTAGGTGAACCTAGTTACTTTCACCCCAACTCGAAATCTTTTCTATATCCTCATCGAGATATTGTAGTAAACCACTTTTTTTGTGGAATTCTGATACGCTTCCTAAATAAAGACGCGATTCAGCAGAGCTTGGGCATTATAATGCTATATTAAAATATTTTCTGCTCACAAGATTCACTCTCTAGTCCATCACATATTTTGAGATATTGTAGTAAACCACTTTTTTTTTGTGGAATTCTGATACGCTTCCTAAATGAAGACCCGATTTAGCAGAGCTTGGGCATTATAATGCTATATTAAAATATTTTCTGCTCACAAGATTCACTCTCTAGTCCATCACATATTTTAAAAATGAAATTGTACATTGTTAACAAATAACAATTCGAATGTAAACCATTGAGTATTTACCAGAGCTAGAGCTATCTTTATATTCAGTTCTTATCTTGGGAACATCGTTGCAGAACAGCCCATTCGCAGTGCGATACGGTTAGTTCATTCAATCTCGTAGTGCTGGTCATTGACTGATTCCAAAACTACGAGAATATATTGCATTTCTCTAGCAGTTTCACTTGTGACTTAGATATTCAGTGAAAATATTAATAATTATTATTCCATCATAAAAACATCCTGTTAATCCTTGACACTAACTACTGCTTCATTATCAACGTTACAAAAAAAAATCGAATATTTTTATAATAAATAGAAATAATGTATCGAATCTATTAGAAGAAAGTAATACAAATCATGAAATTATGAAACAACAAAAATTAATTGGCGCTCCGGGGCGACTTCATTGATTCCAGTGGCGCATTTGCTTTCTCAGCTACAGGAAAACCCGGAAAAACCAGCAGCACCACATCATCAGAAGATCTTGATCTGCCAATGTCCTATCTTCCATAAAACAAAATGTAGGGTGTCTCCAGAGGCTTCGATAACTTGAATACATCGCCAGAACCCTTCGTGACACGACTATCGTCAAACTTAAACCAGTCCGTTTCGTCTTTGAGTAATGCGTAATAATGACCTGAATCAACGCCAGAACCACAGTGAACAATAACTGCATGAAGGTTATAAAAGTGGTCTGCTAGATTGAAGCGTTCATCTAATTATAATTGGAATGTATTTCGCCCCCTTGAATTGAATAGTCATGTATGCAAGACTCAATTGCATCACAATGAGCGTGAAATATGCATTTATATTTTCACTAGGAACGAAGGAGAAGTTCGACAATGGTTCTGCAGAATGCCGATTGAGATAGTGTACAGCATTCAGTGTAAAAACGCAGAAATTTAAGATATTGGGTTTTGCAGGGTCGTCACTCACATTCATTCGAAACTTCAACCTCATTACTAACTAACGTTAATACTTACGGTCACTATTTCCTAATTCTCTACCTTCAGACAACCAAGTCACATTGGTGTATTCGTATTTGGACGCCCCACACAGAATATGAATGGTTTCTCCAACAGCAAAAGTTGCAGTGCTTCTGTCTTTGTCCAAAACGACGGTGTCTTCAAAATCTGTTATATCGAAACCGTTCTCGAATTCTAAAAATGTGAATAGAATCTAAGATTCATGAAAAAAATTCAAAAAGTCATTATTGTATAGGGTACACCAGGTATGTCAATGTTATTCAATTCCATACAAAAACTTTTTTGATAAACAAAGTCATTCCATAACCAAAACAATAATAATACAAACACTCTTCGAGAAAACAACTGATTCAAAATGTGTTTCATTGATTATAATGAATATGAGTTTTTGGACAGTTTGGAAACTAATAAAATATATCGAATTTTTTGGGAACGAAAGATTTTGGCTTTTTACTTCTCAATCGCGATATAAAAAATGTATCTTCTTCCATAGAAAATTCCCAAATTTAGTTTTCAACTTTTTACTAAGAATATCAAAAAATTTCAAAAAATGGGAAATCTAGCGAAAATCGACGCATTCAATAAATAGTGTAATGTTAAGATTTCCATTCATGTGATTTCGACGAATAATTTTTGAAATTTTGGGCTCGAAGAAGCGAGAAGTTGTAAGGATGACCTGCAGGGTCCACCGTTTTTCGGATTTTTTTTACTTAAGTATTTTATTTCTCTTCAACTCATGAGTACAAATTACAAATTACACATTGGAAAAAGTATTGCCACTGAAATGTATTCTTGTCAAAAATGCAAAAAAAGTGTTTGGGAAAAAATCGTTGAAATTGCTGACCCGTCATTGTGGGGGTCCCTATACTGTGGGGGCCCCAAAGCAGTAACCCCGCCTGCCCTTCCCTAAATTTGGCCCTGCAAAATTAAAAAACTATTTGAACTCTGTAACACGTGTGCTGTTTTTACACCGTCATTCATTTTTTTCCAAGTTAGTTTCAGAATAATGAAAAGTGACATGAAAACTAATCCGCATGAAATATTGCTCACAAAGAAGTGGATATCAACTGAATATATTGATTTTTTCGTAAATGAATGCGTTATTTATTACAAAAAATTGATTCAAAAAAATGTCAATTCTGATAGGTACTGGCCAACAGTTAGTGATGGATGTTCATGTTATTCCATTTCTGGTTTGAAACACAAACTAACATGAAAGTCAAATTTCGATTAGATGAATTATCGAAAAAAACTCGCTGACACCGTATATCAACAAAAATAAATATCACGTGAAAATACATTTTCTCATTTCCCCCATTAACATTTCTATGGCCATTATGTTATTGTTGTCATCATTTTCCTTCTACAATTTCAGAATTATTTTCTTTGTTTTTAGGCTGTAACTTCTTCTATGTTAAATAGATGATGTTTAAAAAACTATAGACATTACCTGAAACTAGAAATTCAAGGGATCTAACATCTGAACCAATGGAGTTGGTGGCAGTACAACGCACAAAACTGATTAGTTCGTTTGAGGTTACCGTATGTTGTGATATTGATGTCACTTCTCGCGAATTCAGTAACACTCCTTGCATCTGAAAAATTCGATTATTAACATGAAACACTTTGTTAACAGGTACTCATAATTGATTAGAATCATTTCAATATCACTAAATTTCTGAAATATGATGGAATATACCGATACTTGATGAAAATACATAACGTATTTGAGTAACACATTATTATATGACTTTTTCGCTGGACAGTTGACAAAACCACAAAAATCGCCACATGTTGCTTATATGTCGAACGAGAAAACTAATTCAATATTTGCAAACCGTCTCTTGACATAGGAGCATGAATATTACTTAAGTTTAATCTCAACACCAAACCGTTATTTTTAACACCTCGGCATGTGCTTCATCTTCAAGAGGAAGAATACACTGAATTACATATAATATTGTCCTTATTTATACCCTAGATACCTCTGCTAGATACCTACCTGCGTCTAAAATGTCCTAAATTAATTTCACATGTTACTTCATTTACTTGTCTTGAATTCATTTTACATATTGCCCTATCTAAGAGTCGGGTAAATCTGATAATTAAATATTATTTCAACAAGCTATATAGTAGTATACTATTAGGTATTGGTCCCCTACCGTTATTCATAATATTATTATATTTACTCACTCCTATATTTACTCTTCTTGTTAACTTATCCAACTTATCTTAATGAACTAAAGCCAATGGAATGGTTTTTTTTGCAAAATATCACGGCAACTGCTGGTTTTTTGATCTTCCATATTTTAGGTCCTACGATGAACTTTGGAAATATTTTCAAGAAACAAGGTATGGATGTGGTATTTGGAACAAGTCATACACTACAGAGCCTTCTGGGAAATCCAAATGACAAAGTCGAAAATTCGGAAAAGTCTGTTATTTACGAAATCAAATGTAAGGACTGCGATGCAAAATATTATGGACAGACTAAAATATCTATGAAAATGAAATATAAGGAACACTTAGCACACCCAAAATATGGAAGATTGGAAAAATCAGCAGTCGCCCATCATATTTTGCAAGAAAACCATTCCATATACTTCAGCTTATAAAGATTAGTTGGACAAGTTAACAACAACAGGCATCTACATGCCTATGAGAGTGTAGAAATACACTGGTGGACCAATCCTAATAGTATGTTATATAGCTATTTGGAATAATAGTTTATTATCAGATTCACCTGTCTATTAGATTAGGCAATATTTTGAAAGTAATTTAAGGCTAGCAGATAAGCCAACATGTGAAATTAATTCAGGACAATTATGCCGCAGGTACCTAGCAGAGGTATATTTGGTATAAACAAGGACAATATTTTATGTAATTTAGTTCTTCCACTTGAAAATGATCACTTGGTGATTGAAACACGTATTGAAAATAACGGTTTGGTGTTGGGATTCCACTCCAGTAATATTCATTACTACACCAAAGGTTCCAAACAGTGCATCACAAGTAAGTAAGTTCAACCACCACCATGAAACATTACATTTCTTAGTTATAGGTTAGAAACTCAATCTTTTGGAATGCTTGTAAATAAATAAATTCAAAAACCCTTAGAATTTAGTTATAATCTAAATATAATTGAATACTTCACTTCTTCATGTCATATGATTCAAATTTTCAATATATAAAACGTAAATTGTAATACGTTTAGCACATGTCCATTTATTGATGTTTGAAAGTTTTTAAAAGTGTTCACCTGAACTCAGGCGAAATAATTAGTCATTACATAGGTTGATGGTTATATGATTTGAGTCATTTTCATGAAGAGCACAAATCAAGTACAGTTTTTTCGGTATATAAATAATTGAGAGCGCTATTTTACAGCGAAACACGTGCTGGGGTTCTGTAAACTGTCCAGTGATAATCTCACAATCAAATGTTACTTAAATCAGTTTCCAAAAATAAACATTCGAAATTCAATGAAAAATTCAACATTAATATACTGGCGGTTACCAACTTGACCATGATTATGATGATCGTTGAAGGAGGAGACGGATTGTTGAAAAACATCTTCTTCAATTCATTTTCTGCCTCAACCAGATCACCTGATTACGTATTTTAAAGGAGGTATCAATTATGGATGATCCCAATGTCACATCAATCAAAATTATTTTACAATAGCTAAGGCGCAATTGATTAGTTTGCTTGCTATTGAAGCTCTTCATCCCTTTTGAAAAATACTCATTCTTTACTGAAATGGGTTAAACGCTCACCTCTTTAAACTGACACTCTGCATTCCCACAAGGTTTGAATTCCCAGTGTATTATTGGTAGGGGGTTCCCTGTGGCTATACACAATACTTTTCCGGGTTCATTTGGGTAATGAAACGGTTTATCTATCTCAAGGGTAACACGTGGTTTATCTGAAAAATAAATTAAAATTATGTATTTAAGTATTGTGGTTCTGAATACGTGTTGATTTTAACGATACTATTTTTGTCTTTCATCATTTTTATCATTCTACCTGGTGTTAAAAGAGGGCTACATATCATGCCTTGTTAGTATAGACTATTTCAATTGAAATGAAGTTTTATTGATGTATATTAGGCAGACAATTATTTGAGAGTGGAAATAAAATATTTGGAATAGAGTCGTGTAGTCTTACTCTGCTCCTTTGTGTATATTTTCAACAAATATATTTAATAAATTGATGGATGTAGCCGTTACTATATTTTTTAACTAATTTTGAATCTTTTCAATAGAAACTAATTTTATGGTAATTTTTTTTATCGACTGACATGAGGATGACCGACCAATTCTATCACCTATTGGTGATAAATAAATATATTCATTAGTGGTTGTTATTATGAAGAAATTTGCGTAGTATCATGTTTTTCATTTGTTGTTTCCATCAGTGTCACGCTCAGGTTGAAATATACAGTTACAATATAAAATTATATTGATATCGACATACCTGTAACATTTAGAAAGAATTCTAATGAGTCGTTATCGTATTCGTTACTAGCTACCAATTGGTAGGGTCCAAAGTCAGTGATGTTAACGTTATGAATAATGAAAGTAGACATATTGGTATTTCTATTCAACGAAAATGAATATTTTTCGTTATTGTTAGTATGGGCTTCGTTATCCGGAAATACTTCCTTATTCTGATTGGTGATCCTGAAACAATAAATGAATTGAAATAAAACTGAAGGAAACTTAAAAGGCATTGATTGCCATGTAATTGCCTGTTTATAGTGGTTAAATTTTTTAGTATTTTTACCATTTCATATCATTAACAACTAGGAAATTATTACATTTATCACTGTTGGTATTGATAGGAGAATCAATGATGGAATTATATTCATTTCTGACAATGGTAAATCATTCGATCATTAAGTTTCAGAAAGCAAAATTGCGCAGATTCAGAAAGAAACTGAAGTGAATGATTTCAATTTTCATTTATAAACGATGATGATTGTAGTGAAATTTTTATTCCTTAGGTTCAGGTCGGGTAGACCGGAGAAAAAAGAAATTAATTAAATAATGTTATTCTCAAAACATCTTACAGTAAGTAATTTCATTTTGGATGCGAGCCAACATTCGTTGGCAAGATGTTTTCCAGATTATATTGCCATTTTCTTTTCAGTTATAATTTTCAATGGGATTAGTAGAAACATTATATTCTTGACAATTCTTTAAATTTACCCCCTGTCCCAGAACAACAAAAAGAGGTACCGGGGACAATTGAAACACAGTCGTCTTTTCTTTTTCTTTCAATAAACTGTTGTTATTGAAACATGTTTTTCATCTAACGTGTTCCTTCTCGAGACCTTCCTTCGTATTCCTCGAGAAGGAACTAGACATCATCAAAAATGATTTTCAACGGAATGGCTACTCCAAAGCGATGGTAGAAAATACTTTGGCTAAAAGACAGCAGGAGCCTCGCAAGGAAGAGAAGCCGTTACAACCAGTGCTTGCACTTCCCTACATCAGAGGATTATCGGAGAGGATAAGAAGAATTGGTTCCTAGTACAACATCAGAACCTGCTTCAGATCCGGTAACATAATATAATTGTTATTTTCAGCTATTCATTTTTAATTATTCTTTTTTAGTTGTTTCAGGGATTTCAAATCATTTTATATAGTAGACAATGGAAGTCCGAACTAGTGAAATTCAAATGAACAATATATTTCGCAGATACACATATTATTCATCTTGCTTGTTGCATGCTTCGTGAAACCAATAGGATCAAACAAGACAGCGCACAAGTTGTTTTCAGGGTTGCTGACACTATATGGCTTCAGACAAACCAAACGAGAGCAATATTCGTAGTCGCTATCTTCTTTATTGTGATGAACTCCGTTTTTGGCACTAAACCATTTGATTTCCTTTTCATTCGTTTCATAAGTTTTTTTCACTTCTGTTTTTTTATTATTGAATTCCTCTTGTAATGCATTCTTCTTTGATGTATATATTGTAGACTTTTCTCTTTTTCTCCCCCAACTGATCTTTTTCTTAGAGGTGCCTTAGAAAACTGTCGGATTTCTTCCAGAGAAAATTCAAACGTTGAAGTAAACCGACCTGCGATTGTTGACGTGGTTGGAGTTGAAACTATTGTGTTCGAAAATAATACTTCTTCAATATTTGTACCCAAAATTGGTGAGGTACTTGAACCATGAGCCATTGAGGTTACATCTGTTGAATTGATAGAATGTGGAACTGCCTCAAGATCATTACATATTTTGAAGAGAAATTACGTTTGTTATATTGAAATTTGTAGATATGAATAAATTAATTGTTTGAGCTACCCGGATTAATATTTCCCGACAGTAAAATTTGTTTTTCATGAGTCAAGTTGATTCATTAATTGAGGTAAAATTCAAAACGAAACCTAATAGTTACAGGAGCTGTTGATCCTTCTTCAATTGGTTTTTTGGTGAATCTACTCAAAGATACATTACTCAAGTGAAATTTTTTTGCAACACATACAATAAAATTTTCCATTATTTCCTGAGGTCTATTTCAATTTTCCCCTCCCTAGTTTGTGAAACAAAGAGACATTTATTTTCATCTTATACGCATTCGCTGGGTGATGCGCATTTACCACGTTTGAAATTGATATGCTGATTTCTAGGTCCTTCGTTCCTTTTGTCTTTGGTCTACCTTACTAGCTCTACTCATTCACAGGTGTCAATCGGTACACCGACATCTGATTATCGTTTGCAGTATTAGATTCCTGATCTTTCTGATCGAGGATATCTTTTTTATAAATGATTTGAGGTGTGAGATGTGGGTTTTAAATTCGAAAGTAGAGAAACTATTTGAAAGAAATTTATAAGTAAATTCAAAATAAATATAGCTATGCTATATCATGTTTGTTCAATTTTGTTGAATACAACGATTTCGGAAAGAGTATTTTTATTGTTATTTTTCAGATGATCCAACCAAATGAGGATAACTTTCCTCCATTATTTTTGTATACTCATTCGAAAGCCATTTCATTTAGGTGCGTATTCACCAAAAAAGCGAGCACGAGCAAACAAGAGCGAACAAGAGTGAACATGCATTCTGCATCAATAATCGTCTGGTGAGTACGTGCTAGCGAGCGAGCGAACGTATGCTTGTTCGCGTTCACAAGTGATCGAGAAGAAGGCGGAATATCAAAAGGTGCTCGCACAAAGTAGATGGATCAACTACGACTACGAACTTGAAGATATTCGCTCTGGTGTGGACGAGACATCAATATGTGGTGCAAACACGAGCGAACATGAGCGAACACGAGCAAACATACACGAATGCTAGCTCATGATCGCTCGTGCTCGCTTTTTTGGTGAATACGCACCTTTACAGGATGACGGAATATAACGAACTGAACCTAGAGATCAGTTGGTGAGCGTTGTTGCTGTGAGTTTCTTAGATTTTAATAAGTAATGAACCACCTGTTCTAGGAATTATATGTTTCATTACTTCAATCAATAAAAACACTGAATGTCACAAAAAGAGATTCATCTAAATCCATGAACGAAACTTGATGAACGATAAGAACAGTTACAAACAATCAATTTTAATTTATTTTGAATGAATTTCTTGATCATATACAGGCCGTTTCTTTTATCATGTGGTAACATTGCTATATTCTAAACCGTAACAGATACAAAGACGATTGAATGGGAAAAAAGGTAACTGTCATTGGGAACGATACAATGGTGAAAGAAAATTTACGGGGACTCTCGCGCTGTTCTTCGTTTTTATTTCGAATAGAATTGTTATTTCGAAGAATATCAAAAAATGGAAAAAAAAACTGTTATTGTATTCGAAGTCTACTATGACGATGTAATGATAAATATTCGTTAAAACGTTTCGTGTCAACGTGGCCACCATCAACTTAATTTTTTAAATGCGGACCTCTTTTTTATTACAGATATCGATAAAGCAACAAATTCACAATCCAAGAGTATATCACATTTGATATTTTTATAGCGTTTCATTCGAAATAACTACCATCATCAGTGACAACAATTTTAAATTACGGTCCTGTCGTTACTTCTTTTGTAAATTGTTTCGATTACCCCAAAATATAATTTAGACAACCCAATAGATTCGATAAGAAGGTATCCTAACACAATGAAAATTCGTACTTTTTCGTTTTGGAAATTTTTGTATTGCCGTGATCGTTCTTTCAAGGCTTATTTCTCCCTAATCAATTATAATTCGTAATATTTTTATAATTATCAATCCTGGAAGTAACGAAAATATCAGTTTCTGGTCAAAATTCGATTGTTGTATAATTTGATATAATCAAATAGCATCTCAATTCATTTACCATCTTAAACGTGTAGACTTTGCTTGGTTTCTATGGCAGAAAAAATGATGCATCGTTGATATCTGTTGAGAACTGTCAGAGGTTTATGAACATATCAAAGATGTATTCAAATGATGAAAGGACTGATATACTATTTAGTTATGCAAAATCAAATAGAAATCCTCTTTTGGCAATGAATATGTATGTTGAGCTATACCCAAATCGTCGTATTCCGAACATGCAAATGATTGGACGATCAGAAAGAAATTTGAGGGACTATGGTGCTTTTGACTGGAAGAAAACAAGAAAATTTGTGGTTACTGGAAGTGTGAGAAAACACATAAATGTTATGGGTGAGCAAATATCACCACATAAAAATTTACATAGTGAACACATGTTTTTTTTAAATTTAGGATTGGCCATTTACAAAAATCATGCTAATCAAGATTGTTCTTTACGAGAAATTGCCCACGAAATGGGGATATCTGTAAAATCCACCAGAACTATTTTCAAAAAGAACAAATATAAATGCTACAGGATACGCAAAGTTCATCACCTCAATGGAAGGGATTACGAAGTGGTTAAGACGTAGAATAAAAAAAGACTGATATGCCTTTAAAGGAAAAATTGATGGTTGCCATGTTGACATGAAACGTTTCAACGAATATTTATTATTCGTTATAGTACACTTTGAATACAATATCATTTTCCTTTTCCATTTTTTGGTATTCTCCGAAATAACAATTCCATCCGAAAAAAGGGAAAAACAGAATTTTTGGTTTTCCCCGTATAACTCAAGAAGGGCGAGAGTCCCTGCCATTTAATTGTCTTCGTATCTGTTACGGTTTAGAATATAGCAACGTTATACTACATGATGAAAGAAACGCCTGTATGTACATGGTGGAAGATATTTTCATTATTTCCATTTTATAATATATAACCAGAATTTTGAGTATTACCGATTGCAGTATTGTGTACTCTCGGGCCTAGACAATACAAATATGATGCCATGGCTTGAAATGTGTGTTCAAAATTATGATGATTTACAATTTTTTTTTCGATTCGATTTGGCTGGAGAAAAAGATTCGAAAATATTTCAATTGAAAACTTTGTAATACTACTTTACCATTTATAGATCGGCTCAGGATGTCCCCATACGTGTACTGTCCACACAACAGATTCTTGTCCAGCATATACATGAAGGTAGTTAGACCCATTAGGCTCCTGCAAGGAAATTTCATGATCCCCAATATCTGTAAATGGATGAGGATCAGCTGGTTAGCGATTTGTTTTGCACTGAGAGTCAGTTCAATGAACATATTTCTATTCAGTTTCAAGTTAATCGGCGCAATGACTAGATGTTCTAGCAGTGAGTGAAAACATGTGAAAAAAGATTGCTGTTCGTTGAAGTATTGTACTTTTTATACATTGTAAAGGAATGTATAGATTTTTTTCATGATATCTTATCGCGATGAAGAATATTCAACATTCATTGAGTCAATGGAATCAACGAATTTGACTACGATGAGGTTTTTAGGTTATCTAAAGATATGATCTTTAAACGTTAAAGCAAGTCTCGGATATACCTAAATAGTAGGTTGAATGGACGGTCATCTATCAGAAAACAAGTACCCTTCTGGCTAATACCACGAAGGCGTTGGATTACATCCGACAGGCGTCAGTGCAGGAATCTCCACAGAAAATTTCCTGCATATGCAATTGGCAATACAACTGACAGAGACAACCTTCAATTTTGGAACTGGCACACTTGCAGACCGGTTTCGGGCTCATTGGTCAGTCCTCAATGCAAGATAGTGGCCATCATCTACCAAAAGTCAATGATATTCCATAATTGAAAATTGGAATTATTTCATTCCTCTTCCTGAGTTGGAGCGAACAACAAATTGCCAATTGCAAATGCAGGAAATTTTCTGTAAAGATTCCTGCACTAACGCCTGTCGGATATAATCCAACGCCCTTCGTGGTATTAGCCAGGGGAGTAGTTGTTTTCTGATAGGCGTCAGTCAATTCAAGCTACTGTGTAGGTACCTATATCACAGACTGACTTTAACGTTTAAAGTTCTTTTCGTTAGATTTGTTTACTGCCAGTCTTCAAGCATAGCCCACTGACTAATAAGAAAGTTTTAAGGTTATGTTAAAAACTTCATTTCATTCAATCAATGTATTTTAAATTCGGTTTCAGTGATCCAATAACATAGAGACGAACTTTTGTGTGGCTCTGTTCTTCAAATTCAACTGATTTAAACCACGAATTTGTCTACCATTCTCGAATTGCATGCGATTATTGAAATTGATTTGAATATAGTAATTGTCGTGATGACACTACTTATGTGGTTGTTAAAGCTATCGATAAAAAAATAACTTACCAAAAATCCTTACGGTCAGTTTCGAACTAGCAGTGTGATTCTGATGATCAAATACATGGCAAGTATACAGTCCTTCGTCAGCAGACGTTATATTGAATATTTCCAACTGGGAATATTTTATACTCCCTTCATCGATGTAACCCAGAGATTTGTGAATTCGACTTTTCTGAAGAAATAACATAATTGAAAAAAAAAAACGGTTAACTACCCATCAGAAAGAGCACTGATAAATTTTTTTTAAATCTATTTTCTCGATTGGAAGTTAATACGAAAAAAATTCGATGAATCTGATGAAACCTCAATGATTGTATTATTTAACTGTGTATTCATGAAACACGAAAATTTATTTATTGATATAAGAGCCCGAAAATGAATCTTCTGTGAGCCAATACCAGATAGCGCTGTTTCGATCTACTCATATCATAGGTCTCCTCAATGGTAATGAATGAAGCCAGAGTGCATCGCTGGACCCAAATAAGGACAAGCCTAAGTTTGTATCATCAAAGACGCGTCATCTAAAGATTCGGTAAATGAGTCATTTCACGAATATCAAAAATGAGCGATGCTCAGATGCAAAACGAAAATTTGACATGGACGGTCGAAAGAATTTGTAATCGTACTTATATTTCACAGCAGTTTTCACCAGACAGCGGTCTTTTGAACCACCATTATTAGTCTCATCGTGCATTGCTGGACGAAACTATCCATGAAGGAGGATCCTGAGTAAGTATTGCCCATGACGTCTTCACTCACAGAGAAGCCATCTATGAGATTGAATATAAAATACTCAATTCACGGATATCAGTTGTTCTGTTTCCGATATGGTGGTCTACAGACGTGCTGACAGCGACCGTTCACAAAGAAGGTACGCGGACGCCATTGTTGGAGACTGAATTAATTTTGTGTTGTGAATGTCCGCCGTTTTATAACGAGACAGCAATCGTAAATGAATAATAGTGTTAGTAAAAATCATTTGTGTTTTAAAATAAAGAATACTCCCATTCACGCCGGTTGGTGGCCGGGGTGGACCGGATGTCCACTACAAAGTTGATGAATTTTGAGTAGTGAAATATTCCAAATTACATTCTTACTGAAAATGATAACTACTCGTTTGGGCTCAATTTTAAAAACAGAAGAATTGATATAATAACTCTGTTGCAAAATAATAAAATCCAATTCATTCATGAAATATGCAGATGTTCATATATTGAACATCTTTTGGCCGAAGGGAAAATCGTGACTTTCAATTCTCTTTCTGTTCGATATGCGCGAAAAACAAGTACTAAAGAGTACGAGGTATGCATTCGTACTGAAAAAAACTGAATTATTTGATTATAGAATATACCTTAAATATTGCACACTTCATCATTAGTTTGAATAAAATTGAGTTTTGGAGTGTTTGAAACACTCAGGAGCATTGTTTCCACTACGATAAATCCCGCTTTTACACGCTATTGCATCATTAGAGGGCCTTTTAGAAGATATAGAACCATCAGACAACTGGATATTGGATTTCGGAGGAGTCTTTTGATATTCAAACCGTGAAAATTACTCTTATCTAATTCGAATACAACATTTTGACAGTTCATACTTACATCGACTCGTCCGTTTGGTATATCCCAAGTGAAATCTACAGATACAGTTGATTCAAGTTGACAGGTCAAATTGATGAATTCTCCAAAAATTGTATGGCCTCTATTGACGTCAATGATCTCTGGTTGCGATATGTAGTCGGAGTTCGCTATCAAAACATAACTGAGTTAATAAAAAATTGAAGGGTTCCATAGGAATAGAATAGAAATCGTTTTCAGGACAAGAGTGAAATATATTCAAGATGGAATGAAGACTATTCAACTTTGTTTTATACTCTGGAGATATGTTTAAAGTGAGAATGTTTGCTGAACTCATCAACTAATTCCATCAAATTGTCACATTTTTGATCACATGACCACACCAATGAAGATTTTTATGGAAATGCAAGCGCTCTTGAGTTCAATATTCGAAGTTTTCAAATAATCGTACATTCAAAAAATTTAGTTTGACATTAAAATCATGCTCTCTATTGACCGATTCCTATGGTAGTGCTTTTTTTAGAAAACAGAATATGTAAGATGTTGACAAGAAGAGGCAAAACATTATCCGTTACGTTACGTTAGTGCTTGTGATGCACTGTTTGGAACCTTTGTTGTAGTAATGAATATTACTTGAGTTTTTTCTCAACACCAAACCGTTATTTTAACATCTCGACGTGTTTCGATCACCAAGTGATAATCTTCATAAGGAAGACCAAACTAAATATACTTACAATGTTATCCTTATTTATACCATGAATACTTTTTCTAGGTACCCGTGTCTTGAGCGTCTCAAATTAATTTCACAATATTGCCTCATCTACCAGTCTTAAATTAACTTTGCAATGTGTTCTTCTGTAATAATCAAGTAAATCTAATAATTGAAACATTATTTTAACAAACTATATAGTATACCATAAGGTTTTGGTTCACCATCGTTATTCATAATATCATCATGTTAACTTATTTCTACACTGTCATAGGAATCCAGCTGCCTGTTGTTGTTAACTCGTCTAACTAATCTCAGTGAACTCAAGTCTATTTCGTAAATTCTAGACTTTTCCGAATTCTCGACTTTTTTTTGGGGGTTTCCTGAAACGTTCTGTAGTATATGACTTGTTTTAAAAACCACCTTCATATCTTCATATCTTCGTGTTTTGGTGGTACGGAACTGAGTCGAGATTTCGTTCAATTTTTCTTCTTTATTATATCCTCTACCTCAAGGAACCGTTACTGGCTACTATTTCTTGTATTGTACGTATTTTTTTTGTGGATCTCTCATGTGTGAGAGAAAAAGTCAAAAGACGATGCACTAGAAATTTCAGTCCAGCACGTTTGTGCTGTCCGCAGTAATGTGAACTGTCAGGAGTATACCTATACGTGCTTGTTTTCTTTCTGAATACATCGTATTCTAGCCGTCCATGATGGCTTCTCATCACCAAAACGTCAAGAAATGGAAGTTGTCCTTTATTTTCTAACTCATACGTGAATTTTATTGATGGAAATCTGTTATTCAGAAAGGAAACAAAGTCCCCGATAATCGATTTTTTGTTATGGAATATCGCGAAAACATCATTTACAAACCTTAGCCATATCCTAGGCAAATACTTTGACTTTTCTTTAGTTTCCATTTCGAATCTGCTCATGAACGAGTTTGCCATGTAGGGGGACAAGGGGTTACCCATAGCCGTTCTGTTCTGTTGTTATAAAGGCAACCTTTACCTGGCAACGGTTTTGTTTCACAGACAGATTAGTGAGAGTAACGAATTCATCAATTTCATTATTATTGAAATTATTTTTCCGTAGCAATTCCCTAAAGTATTGTAAGGTCTGTGGAATTGGGACGCTAGGAAATAAGGAACTGACATGAAAGAATATATCTCAATTCGATACCATCAATACAGGAAGAACTTTGGAAGTATTTTCAAGAAACTAGGTATGAAGGTGGTTTTTAATATGGGACGCTAGGAAATGAGGAACAAACATGCAAGGATATATCTCAGTTAAATACCACCAATTAACGAAGAACTTTGAAAATATTTTCAAGGAACTAGGTATGAAGGTGGTTTCTAAAATAAATCATACACTACAGAGCCCTTTAGGAAAAGTCTGGAATTTACGAAAATGAATGTAAGGCCTGAAATTTTATGGATTGAATAAGATATAAAGATCACTTAGCACACCCAAAATATGGAAAATCTGAAAAATCAGCAGTCTCTCATCATATTTTGCAACAAAACCATTCCATAGACTTTAGTTCATTGAGATTAGTTAGACAAGTTAATAGCAACAGTCATCTAGCATCTATAATAGTGTAGAAATAAGAAAACATAATATTATGAATAACGTTAGTGGACCAATACCTAATAGTATACTATATAGCTTGTTAAAATGATATTTTAATTATTATATTCACCTGACTATTACACAAGGATACATTGTTAAATTGATTTAAGACTAGTAGATAAAGCAATATTGTGAAATTAATTTAAAACACAGGTACCTAGGAGATGTATCTATGGTATGAAAAACATTGTAAGTATATTCAGTTTGATCTTTCTCTTGAAGATGATCACTTGGTGATCGTAAAACGTGTTAAGTTGTTGAAATAATGATTTGGTGTTGGAAAAAGACTCCAGCAATATTCATCACGTTAGTAAGCGAAAGGCTTGGGCTTCAAATCCCAGGTGGAATTTTCTACTTTGGAGAGTAGAAGGAAAAAAAATCATACATTTTCTTGACTTTATTGGTGTAAATATTTTCTGACTGAATAGCACTAGAGTGCTGGTGGATACTCATAATAACATTATAATTATTCCAAGCACGTTGGTTTAGGGTTATTACCCTCGATTGTGGGATTCGGCAGTTACCAAATTACTTGTCTTTTCGAATTGTAGTGGAATTATTACGTAATTATTAGTGTTTATACTGATGCATTGCACTGAAAACATTACATTCGACGAATGCTAATGATTCATCCTCCGAATGACTCAGAAAATGGAAAAAATATTCACTCAACTTGTGAAAGTGAGGTATTGTAACCATTGCTGAATAATAATCCATAATTAAACAAAATCTATGAAAGTGTAAAAAAATTTATTTCAAAATGGACCTCGTAACTTGACGTCCTGATCATAATAATTGTTTGTTTGTTTTTGTTATTTCAGAACGATTGCCATTTTGAGTTATGATTAATACTGATTTATGTGTAATTCGTAAATACAAATTGGACATTAGGTTAAATGTGGTAGACATTTTCGGAAAAAGAACAAAAAGGATAAGCGACGCTGTGATGACAGTTGTAGATATTTATTGAGAAAACCATTTACAGATAACAAGAATATCGGAATCAATAGAATGAACGACGGGTTGAAAAAGTCAAGAAAGAGAAAATGTTGTTCGAGTGAAGATTAAGTCACCGATGATATTCACTCTTTGTGGAACTGTCATGGGCTTTCTTTTTCAATATGAACGGAAATCAAAAAATTTTAAAAAACTGTATAGTTTGCTGAAAATATGAACAAAATTCGAGGAATACCATTGTGATGAGTGGTCACATGCAGTGAGGAGCCGGTATTTATATTGTACGCTAAGTTGAAGAGCCTTCCCATAAGGCTGGAGATTCGCGCAGCATGGAAGAAGAGCTTCATCTTTGAATAACTTCAGCATAGCTGGTTTATGGTGAGTAATTATGGCTCCCTGGCGAATTTTCAAAACTTTTAACCTCGAGTAGAACCGTAGAATTGACCTCCAGTTTTTTTCACCAGTTACGACAACACATAGGAAACTTACGCCCTAAAAGTGATACAAAGAACTCGCAACAACTGACTATGTGCTTGTCTGCTACGATGGGCACGAACAACACTTCAGAATCCATATGAAGGCCCTTACACACTGATCAAGAGGGCCGAGACGACATTCGTGGTCATATGGTCAACATCTATCGTTAGTATATTTTCGTAACTCAGGAAATTCCTATTCGTGAAAATTACCAAAATCTTTGATACCTAAATGCATTTCATGATAAAATGAAGTATTTCTTTTTTCGTGTCTTGTAAATCTGAATTTCTAACAGTGTAATTGTTACAGATATGTACTGACCCTACCAGGTGAACTCGATTGTTCAGATATCCTTGATGCCTATTCTGGCATATTTGCAACGATCTCCAAATTTTGAACCAGTTCGACTTGTATACACGACTTGTACACATCGTTCTCATGAAGTTACAATACAATAAATGGATGGAAAATACTGAGTTCTGGACTCAGAAAATATAAGTATCATAGGTCCAGCACTTCTCATCCAAATGCCACTGTGGGGAAATGAAAATTAAAGATATCATAAGTTATGAACTTCGTGAATATTCTCTAGCACCATTTGAATCACAAAGTATATATGGAAAAGCCAGCAAATCTCATCAAATCAATCTATACTGAAATATACAAATCAATTGCGAATTGAAGAAGTTGACAAAAACTAAGATTTTGGCAGCTACAGTAAATCATCAATAATCAAGTACAGTAGAGATATCAATTTCGGCCCACACATTGAGTTTGCCAGTAAAAATAACAGTTCTTAGCAAATTAATGAATCGAGTGAGCGGTGATTCGGCTAGCAGGTGACTTAATTTGTACTGTTCACAGTGCAGATGGGATGCTGATGTTTAACTGTCCTTGATGCGATCTCAGAAAATACGTAAACCACCGTAATGGAAAAAGACAATGACTTCACCATGCCAATGAATGCATGTTATAGAACCGAAGAGATTGGAGGAGATGATCGACTATTATTCCTTTGTATGATATACTCAAATCATGAAAATTGCGAGTTACTTTTGTTTCTACATGCTCACATATGGTATAAGCATTTCTCAAACTGATACAGGATACCTGATACAGGGACCTGAGCTGCATGCTGAGCAAACATATTTGTACAAATTGCAATCCACAGTGAGATGTTGAAGAAGCTGTCCGAAAGCTGGCAATGTCTTCAAATCACAAGGATACATAAAGTCACTACGTCATCGAATGTTACACGAGAACACATAGAAGCAGCAAAATCATTTATTACACAAGAGCATATGATTCAGACTGAATCACGACACACAGCTGTTAGACTTACTTCTGAATTGAATTTCAGAAAGACAGACGAATGGGGTTAGTATGTAAAACAAAATGTTCGATACTCTGTGACTGACTACCAGTTCCAAATTACTCGCGTCAAATGATTCGGAATGAGAACTCATTTTGTTATTCGAATACATGTGTAGGTACAACTCATTGAATATGATTTCACGACTATGAATTTGAATTCTGAGCTATGTAAAATTACTTGAAATGTGGTCTTCATAAGGACAATATTGCAGTGATATTTGTCAGATCAACTTGGGTATGAAATCCAAAAGAAAACTATTACCACACACTAGAATTGCAACACAATAATTGATACTTCACCAACTAAGTTGGCATAATCATTCGGTGAATGATGCTGAAATTCCAACTCTAACATCTATGCCTTTTTTGGAGTATATTTCAGAACTGTCTAATGATTCTCGCATGAAGTTGTGAACTCCGAACTCTTAGAAATGACACCTTTCCTACTGTTCGTATTTCTTATACTTACACTTCTCACACTATACTTTGCTCAAAAGTGACCAAAAGTCTAGTGTAACGTATTATCTTAAAAAATGTTGAGCACTCTTCATTCATTTTGAAGCCATTGAGCAAAACGAATTGAGCGTCACTAGATCTTTTTGGACTCTGAAGTCGAGTACACTCCGCGTGTCTTCGAAATTAATTTTGATGTACCTGTACAAACGCAGTGCTCACAATTTTCAAAAATCCCAGACTTTTCAATATCCGTCATTTTGTCTTTGTAAATGATCGTTAAAGCTGCTTTGAAAGTTGATAATCAGTTCTTTGAGAATATCTTTTATCTTGGTTTATAAGGATCAACAACGAAGTATGACCCAGTATTATAAAAAGTCAAGAATTTATGTGATAATCAAAATAGGAAGGAAAACACCACAAATAAAATAATGTGTCTTGACGCGTTTCGATAATCAAGTTAACATCATCAGGATATGACTAAGGTATCTGTCATATCCTACTCATGATGATATTATCAGGAGATGACTGAGGTCTTTGTCATATCCTCATGATGCTGACTCAGTTAGCGAAACATAGGTCGACAGACAGTATATTTGTCCTCTTATTGGAAAAGTGTTTTGATTAAGATTCACTTATAAACGTATAAATTTCAAGTTTACGTTTTCTAATCATCTTGTCAACTCCGTTTGAGAGAAGATATATGGTACTTTTCACTATTTCTCTGATGATACTTTTTCAATATCGTGGTTTTTTCTGCGTAAAATGAAGTGTTGTGCCATCATTTCTGTAATGAACAGTGATAAAAGTTATCAGTAATATAAATTGATAGATGTAGTTACTACGTGGTAGGAGATTATAATGGAGAAAATAGAATTGAAGCTTTTTATGTTTTTCAACACTTTTATTTGTAACTAACGTTACTCCAGAACAAAACTGCAGTAGGTAACGTTAGTCACAAATAAAAGTGGTAAAAAACATAGTTTCAGTTATCTTTTCTTCACTGTTAGCAGGAATATATCTGGGGTTTTTTATAACCAATACTACTAAGAATATTACTTACTATTTCTTTTTAATTCCGTATGTGAACTTAATATTCGAAGATCTTTTGTTATAATTCGTCTATTCACTTCATGTTGGAAATTGCTTATACCTTGTCGTATCCAAGTCTATGGAAAGTAACCTATTTTTTCTCTTGCTTTCAATTCAAATCAACTCTTGATGATAACATCTACGAAAAAAGACAATGAAATTCATATTGTCTTGTCCTCGCAATGACTATAGAAGTTGTTCAATTCGTCAATTTTAACAGAGTTCTTCTGAAAAATTAAGGAGCTCTAACACTATTTGACTATATTTTCCACTTCTTAAATCATCTTCGGCGATGAGTTTCTCTGAGGCCATTCTTAACCAGGTTATCAATTAAACATCGTGGATTATGAAAGTCTTATGAAAGTCTTTGTATGTCTTTGGTGAGTGCTGTATTGCATTTTCAGCACTAACCACATTTTTCAAAATTACCTTATGAGAACTCAAATCAGATTTTTGGAGATTAAGATAGACAATGACAAACAATATTGATGATATCCATTTTGTTGACTCCAAAATTTCTGAATTCATTATTCAAACATACCACTTTCTCAATATATTTTGTACTTGAGGAATCACTGATAAATAACTGGAAATCAAAGTTCAATTCGATAGGTATGAATAGACGAAGTTGGAACTAGTTGCTCAATTCCCCTGATGACACCAACTTAGTTTGTGAAATTTGTATTGAAAAGAGTGTTGCAGCTCTGATATGTGTATGCACTATTTGTCTTCTTTCTATGCCTGAGTTTCTACATAGAACTCCAGCTTTCAGCGTGTCATTAACCGAATTATGTGCATCAGAAATTTTAATTTTTTCTAATCTGTGTGATTGATGATTTGTTCATTCTGTGAAAATTCATGATCACTTCAATGAAATTAATGAAAACACTTCTGTCTAATTTTCACTAGTTATTTTATTTGTACGACCGCTTTTGGGTTTATGAAACTTATACTTGATAATGGGGTAAAACCCGAAACCGGTCGTACAAATTAAATAACTAGTGGAAATAATTTTATTCGTTTTAACGATTTGTGACATTAAGAAATGAGTGTTCATGCCTCATGTTTTGAAAATTGCAACACATTTACTGATGCTCGAATTGAAGTGAATCTGTATTGGTGTTATATTGAGTAAAAATCAACAAATTATATTTCATTCCATAATAATTCTGACTGATATGTGTTTTCTCTTACTCACTACCTGGTTCCACAATCAATTGGAAGTACAAGTCGAACTCCTTTGAATGTCTTGAGAAATGGCAGGAATAGAAATCCTGCACACTTAAGTCCGATACGTAGAAAGAAAATCCAATTTTCCTATCGTAAGTAGCATTTTCAACCTGCAATGAAATGAAATATTTCAATTTAAATGGCAGTGCTGTTGAGTTGACTAATTTCTAATGAAGGAAAACCTAGTTTATAACACTCATTGAGAAAACACTGATTTGGTTTTGAGAATATGAAGGTGGTCCTAGATGTACCCGGCCCAACAAAGAAAACACGAAAAAAAAAGGAAGAAATGTATTTATTTCTCAACATAATCTCCTTGCAGCTCTTTACATTTTTTTAACGACGTTGAATAAATTCGATACCGTTTTCATAATAAGAACTGTCGAAATCACTTCTTCATCGTTGGAAAATATTTGATCAGTGAGTAATTTTTTCACGTTTGAGAACAGAAAATAATCCAAGGGAGCTGAATCCGGCGAATGGGGTGCATGAGATAGTTTTTAAACTTTAATTATTTAATTATGAGCGATTTATGAGCTGGATCATTTTCTTGGAATAACACATTTTTCTTAGCCTAATGCATCCGTTTTTGCTTGATTTCTCCACTCAAACGTTGCAATAAGTTCGCATAATTCTCGCCGTTGATAGTATAACCTTTTTGAAGATAGTCAAATGAAAAAGCTATATAATGGTCAATTTGCCTTGAAATTTCAAAATTCTTTATTTTTCTGAGAACATACAATTGATTTCAACATTGTCATAGCGTAAATTCTGAAAAATATTCACTTATGGCACTTATACCAACAGAAGATTTGGAATAAAAATATCAAGATATCATGAACAGGTATACTTGAGAAATATCGACTATTGCAAATTATCTATTCATTACAGAAAATAAAATAGAATTGTTTGGCATGTTTTCAAATAGAAAGACTATTCGGTAGATACAGGGGCAGAATTGTACCCAAGTAGACTTATATGATGACGGTTTCATTAGGAACGCAATGAAGATGACGATGCAATTATGGTAATAGTTAGAAAGTTTCAGTCATCTCATGATAATGCCAATTTGGTTAAGGAAACTTGCATCTGTCGAGAAAAAAGTGTTTTCATTATATTCATTAAGAAAGTCATGAAAAATTATTCAATGTTCAAGTAAAAATGTGACTCTATATACATATGTTAGAAAACTATGATCCAAAAGCATATTTCTATTCAAAAAGTCACTTGTGAGAACTTAGGGGAAAAATTGAACTTCGATGACAGATAATAAGCATTTTTGTTCTAAACCATGTTGATATGTGCATGTTCATTCATATGCATGTTAATATTTTCATTCATCAAATTTTTCGATGTTTTCGAGTTCATTATCCGTGGTCTGACGTTTTTATACCTGACGTTCCGTCTGCTACTGCGGCAGACATTATCTGATGTGAAGCAGCAACGGTCGAAGTGATCTACCTTGCTGCGAAGCGCATACTGAAATTTGTCCTGGAACGATTTTATTCATAATAGGACTAGATGTCGAACGACCAACTGCTCTTGTACCTGATTGGTCCGATCCTTCTTCAATTACTGAGAGAATCTTTGTATTATGAAGTGTTCAAACTTATGCTTAAACTTCAAGATAAGGCAAGGTGTTGGACGGCCGTCTGATCTTGTATCTGATTGGTCCGATCCTTCTTCAATTACTGAGAGAATCTTTGTATTATGAAGTGTTCAAACTTATGCTTAAGCTTCAAGATAAGGCAAGGTGTTGGACGGCCGTCTGATCTTGTATCTGTTGGTTTGACCCTCCTTCGATCGCCTTGGATGATGTCTGCCACAGTAGTAGACGAAACGTCAGGTATACAAATCTGCATAGCATCGCTAATAAACCCGGACACATAAGAAAATTTGTTAGACACCAGCCGTAAAATCCTTCACACCATTCTCATTGAGGGCAGTACTGATGTCTGAGGATTTTCATGCCGCCATCTCAAATTCAGTTATGTCCCATTTGTCCCTCTGACAAACGCCAGCTACAAGAGTTAGGGAGCTCCATCCTGATTCAAACGAAGATGATCGAACAGACAGACCATTTTCAATTATGTTCAACATTATGCAATTTATGTTTCACACGTAATGAAACCGCTTTCTATCAGTCGATATTGAGGAGCCAATAGCTGATATTATAATTCCGGAAAGACTGGTTCATTCAAGCGTGTTCACAAATGCGTAAGTATTTAATAATAATAATAATGAGCGCTTGTTCAGGGCACATGATTCTCGGACCCAATGATCACTTACCCCACGGTGTGGGGAGTGGTCATTGGTTGATAATGCTGGCGCGCCCCGAATGTATCGGGGCTTCGGGGGATAGGGCTTGACCAGCGCACACTATGGTAAAAAAAAATTAATCGGCTTTACTGATAATACAAAAAAAACAATACAATAGTACATTTGAAAGTGAAAATGGGTTATAGGAGATTCTGGTACTCCTTGACGAAGTCTAGCTCAAAGCTACTCTAACTCAACAAGCACCACTCCATAATGCACGCGAACATACAAAAATAAGACAATTGACAGTGACGGTACCACGACATGAGAAACGTAAATAAAAATAATAATTCGTGATTACATATAAAGGGAGTTGATGAAAAATTGCATTTAATTGATCTGTTGTTTATTAATTTGTCCAATGAGCAAAAGTTGGCATTACTGACTATCATAGACATGATTTTTATATCTGTATTTGAATTTCATCATTTTGAATCTTTTCAATTGCTCGGGCAATGGATTAAAGAGTTTTACAGCACCAAAAAGAAATGATCTCTGAAACTCTGTATTTGGAGGCCTATAAAATACCCCTAAGGCCAGACTGCTACATCCAAGTTTCACTTGGATGTAACAGTCAGGATGAAGATAAATTCAAGAGATTCTTCAACCACAAAATCAAAAGTTATTTTGTTGTATTTTGAATCATTTCTAAGATAAATTCCGACACCCCCACCTCTTCCTTTTCTGTTCTCACGTATGAACTTGTAACCATAAATTTTAATCAACCTGATCGGTCAGCCACGTTTCAGAGACCATTACAATGTCAAGTTTGTTCTCATGTATAGGTGCCATGAGGTCATTAAAATCTGTAAAAATTGACCTGAGATTCATAACGGAAACGTTAAATTTCAAATACGGAAAAAGCAGACTATTTACTCATTAATTATATCATCAACCTAATATCATTAATTTAATCAACCTAATATTCTCCCAAAAATTTAATCCCAAGAATGCCAAGAAAAGGATATTTAAATATATCATTCACTTCAATTTTCCGATTTAAAATAATTCATGGATAGTTCGTTCGTAGACATAAATTAGCAGATGCAATATTTCGGGTGTTACTTAGCATCTGACAGGAAGTGTTCAGGGACACGATCAAACATATACGAATGAATGGTTTTCGATACAATATGTCCACTATTACTATATTACTATTATTCAATTAATTATATTCATATGGAATAAGAGTATTTGCCCTTCACTGGATAGTCTTTCACCAGAAACAGGAATAAATTTGTTTCGGTGAATCATAGATCTGAAAATAGTGATTATAAATGTACAAATACTCAAGTTTTCACCATTGAAATACCTCAAGGATCAGTGTTGGAACCGTTATCATTTAAATTATACTTCAATGATGTTAGGGCCGCGGTTGCTGAGAATACGTGCGTTATGTATGCAGATGACACATCCAGGGCCGTAGCGAAAAGAAAAACCAGAGGGGAAGGAAATCCAAATTTTCCCAACCCCACCAGAAAATTTCCCAACTTTCGAAAGAATGAAAGCTGAGGGATTAGTGTTACTACTATTATATATTAATTTTCTTACTTATCTATCTAAAGATTGGCTGAATGCTGAATGCCCGTTAAGGTGTGCACAAACAAAAATAAATTTTGGTGATTATATAATAATAATGGGAATTATTCTACTTTGGACCAAGGTTCTTGGTCTTCTACCATATTCACTATGTATAGGAATATTCAATACAAATGAAAGGAAACAACATTTAAATAATATTGTGCTTATTGTTTTCTACTATTATTTTTTCTATCTTCACGGCCCGAAATTTACCAACTTTTCCAAGTCGAAAAAACAGTGAAAAGTTGTCTCCTCAAAATTTGTAGACTGTTCAGGACTGTTTTCTTACTTGGGAAAAATTAAACTTTTTTGGAGATTTCAACCAACTCAGAATTCTCTTCAAGTTATGCATGTTGGGAAATCCCAACCTTCTCCAGGTTCTTTCCCTTTTCTCATTACCTCTCCTTTTCTCTCATTTTGATTTTTTTTATTTTTATTCATTTTTTCACTATTATTTTTTTCTATCTTCATGGCCCATTCGGGACCTACCACTTGAAACTGGGGCGGGAATTTGTCTTCGATACTCGATTTTTCATGGTAATATTAGAGATTACCAATTGAGTAATCGGACCAGATATACATTTGAAGAGTATATATGTGATGGAAGTCTCATAATTCCACAGAAATATTCTTTATTACTGGCACTGATTTCATTGACAGACGCCTACATCAATAGCCCACTAAAGTGTCGACATAAATGTTGTCAAAATAAAAGAAACATGTATGTATTTTTGTGAACTGATCAAACCTCTATCTCTGTTTTTAACAAAAACTACTGAGACCTACCTTTGCCTAGCAGTCGTTGTTTTGTTGTTTGTAGAGGAATCGGTTCTCGACTCTATTGTTAAATATCATCCATTACTGGTTCACGAAAGGTCTGACAGGGTTACAATTCTTTTCATATTTTCATTTCTATACTCCTCTTGTTGAGTAGATTAACTTGAATTCATAAAACCTGAAAAATTATGTTTGTTAGCATTCCAAGCATGAGGTGCCAATTGAATTTATTATGAACTAAACTATACTCATTTTCATAAGAAACGGCAGACCATGTATCTGTTATAATGCGAATAGTTATCGAATATTGCTATTGTGCATGAGAATAATTTAATATTATTTACCTATATTGATATTTTCATTGAATTATATGAGTAAAATATCATCGTGTCAAATACACAATGTATATTATAAAGAATTGAGTCAAACGTCA